TGATTAAGCAAGATGAGATATGAATCATGTATAAGGATACCAAATATGAGTGTTGTGGTCTCACGGTCAACTACATAGTAATTAGGGCTCCCTATGCTATTACTCTATTATGATATGTATGATAGTCACACCTCTCATGTGGTGGTGACTGAAGAATTCTTATGAGATATGACCACACCCAAAGCGGTGTCGGGGTATGACTACACCCATAGTGGTGTGGGGTATGTATGACCACATCTGAAGGGATGTTGGGGTATGTATGACTACATCCGACGGGATGTGGGGTATGTTTCCCGGGAGAGTTATTAGCATGGGAGTAGCCAGGCGCCTATAAGTAAAACATGATAAGATGCATATGCATAAGTCAAGGTGGTTGAGTCTTTTGCCTATTGGGATTTCGGAGGGCTGAGATCTGATCCTAGTGCTTTGGCTTGTTTGCTAGATGTATGGTAGGGGTATGCTCTGTTATGAACTCACGATGCTATGATTATCTCACTCAGCTATGAGCTGACCCTCTTTTATTCTTCTTCTCTGCTTATGCTATGTGTAAGCAGATCATCAGCAGCAGCAAACAGCAGTAGATAAGTGTTAGGTGGGAGAGGAGCTAGAGTTGAAGCCAGGATGAGGTATGGTCTTCAACTATCCTGGCTTCAACTATTCTGTGCTTGGAATACTACTCGGGATTTTGGCCAGTGATCCACAACTTTTTGTAAAAATGTTTTGAGAACTTTTTTCATGTGCATACTAGCTTCTGATGTAGTGTGAGATATCCGCAGGTGTGGAAAGTTGGTGATATGTGTATATTTTTGTAATTATGTAAGTTGTGACGATTATGGCTTGTATCAGTATAGTATGCAGTTGTGTAGTATGAAACTGTGACTATGGCTATGAAAGTCCATGTATATGGTTCTGAGTATATATGTGTCATTGAATGCATGGATTCAGATAAATTATTTTGCAGGATTTAGTTACAAGAACTTTTAGCCCATTACGCGAGTAATTCATGTCGAAATTTTATTTTGGTAAATTTTGATAATTAATGTAACACCCGAGATTATTTCCGCTGCAATTGTATGAACAATATGATTAGGCAAAACGTATAGGGTAGGGTGTTACACTCGAATTCACGGATGAGTGTCGAGCGGCCTTCAACTTCTAAAAGAAGCAACTCACTAATGCACTTATTTTGATGGCACCATATTAGTCCAAGCCCTTTGAGCTTATGTATGATGTCATCGACTATGTAGTCGAGGTAGTGTTAGACCAGCAGAAGGATGGAATATTGAACCAGTCTACTCCCCAAGTAGACCACTGAACGATGCTCAACGGAACTACACAACGACAGAAAAGGAACTCTTGGCTATCGTTTTTTCCTTTGGCAAATTCCACTCGTACCTGGTACTAAGTCATACAATCATGTTTATGGATCACTGTGCACTACGTTACCTGCTAACCAAGGTAGAGGCTAAGCCACTCCTCACCTGCTTGGTCCTCCTGCTTCATGAATTCGACATTGAAATTAAAGATAATTATGGGCCAGAAAACATGGCGATCGACAATCTACCAAGGTTGGAGGGACCCTCTCTTGAACTTATGAACGATGTTACAATAAAGGACACATTTCCATATGAGCAACTCTTCCTGGTCGGAATCGAGGATGGCCAACGTTCGTAGTTCACTGACATGGACAATTACATTACCACGGGATCCATGCCTCCCAACCTTTCATACCAGGAGAGGAAACACTTTCGTAAGGAATCCAAAATCTACTAATGGGACGATTCATACCTATTCTGAATCGGCCCCAATAACATGATTCAAAGATGTGTTTCACTGACCGAGGGCATGGATATTATCTGTCACTGTCATGAGGAGCCCAGAAGAGGACACCATAGTGGTCCTCAAACAACGACTTAATGGCTAAATCATGTGGTGTCTACCTACCACCGACTTGGAAATTTCACCCAGAGGAATGAAATGCCGCAATAAATGATCCTACTAGTTGAAATTTTTTATGTTTGGGCATTGGTTTTATGGGTCATTTCCCCTCATTATTTGGCAACAAATATATTTTGGTGGTAGTTGATAATGTCTCCAAGTGGGCAGAATCAAAAGCTCTTGCTAAAAACAATGTGAGACCTGTGGGGGAGTTTTTTCACGAACTCTTCTCACGGTTCGGAGCCCCTCGAGCTATAATAAGTGACTAAGGCACTCATTTCTAAGGCCCATTTGATAAAATATGCGAACATTTTGGGGTTCACCATTGCGTTTCAACAACATATTACCCCCTAGATAAGTGGGCAAGTAGAGCTCACTAATAGAATGCTAAAGTAAATTCTCAAAAAGATTGTGGATAGTTCCTGTAAAAACTAGTCTGAAAGCTCACAAATGCTCTATGGACATATCATACAGCTTATAAATATCCGATAGGAACATCCCCTTACTAGGTGGTTTATGGCCAAAACACAATCAACCTAGGTGCCAACACAAACAAAGAGGGATGCCCTACATTAACCTAGATAGGAGACATGATTTTCCTAAGAAAACCCAGCTTTACAAGCCTCTTTAACAAAAGGTGGGTTTTCTCTCCACCTAGGTTAGAATTACAAATAGATTGATAGGCAACACAACACAATCTTCCATGAAAATACCTCCAAATTCGTATAAAAACACACCCACACATAGACAATCATTCCATACAATCAATCACATGATAGAAGTTAGGATTCACAAACACCCAAGTGAAAAGGGAAACTATATCATGCTAGGAGAGGGAAAAACACAAGGAGAAAGAATAAAAACTATCATGGAGATGCTTGAATCCTTCCTTGTGTAGAAGAGATCTTCCTTTGGGGAAGATTTTCCCAAATCTTTACCTTGGAGTGAAACCTTAGCTTCTTCTCTCTTCTTGCTCGTCACTTTCTCTCTCTAGAATGTTGAAGAAAAAAGTTTTCTCACTCAAGGTCTCCTCTTCTTTTTTCCTTCAGCTCAAGCCCCCTTTTATACCTAGATCGGGCTCAAATCACGGTCCCAGTTCACGGCCGTGAACTCAAGGCGGGGACCGTGATCTCGGGCCAAAACACACAACATCACTAACTCAGTTCACGGTCTCTGGCTACCGTGAACTGGTTTGAGTCTAGTGAGAACCAAAATGGCTCTGGACGCCTGGCGGTACACGGTTTGCGGCCCCAGTTCACGGTCTCCCTGGCCGTGAACTCACTGCTTCCACCGTGATATGCTACTGCCTCCATTCTTTGACCTGATTTTGCGCTTTTTCATTCAACTTTCAACTTCAGCGTTGGTTCCACCTGCTATAGACTGAAATGCACAAAAACAAGACAAAACTCAGCGTAAAACCAAATCTCCCGGAGCATAAATGCCTCAAATTACTAAGAAAAATGGGGGTAAAAAGTGTACAATTAAGCCTGAATCATGACCTAGAGTAGATGCATGATCATTCACCAAGCTTCAGTAGGACTTACACAATTGATATTTTTTGGGTGACTACATGATCATTGAATGACTTGAATTGTGTGCGATCGCTTAAACCAATTTAAAGGGGATATGATTTGTCCCTAACCCATGAAACCAAGTGCAAGATCATTGAGTTTGTAGGTATAGCTAGGAAGGGAGTTGGAAGACATGATCATTGCACCAACTCTCTCAATTTATTGATCCTCGCACCAAACACACCATAGATTATTGTTTCTATCCATTACATTGCTATCTGTCTTCTGCTTTCGGGTCTGGAAGCATCAACCCAGAATTGCACTTGCGAGATTGCTTGGAAGATAATAAGAGTTTGGTTCCTTATAGTCATTTCTTTTTTTCCTATCCTATCGTGACAACTCTTCTTCCGTGGCATGATCGGGCGGGGAAAACGGGGTTCGAACCCGAGACTTTTGTCGTGACAGACCTGCACTCTAACCGATTGAGCTAGGAGTTCTTTCTTCCGTCACCTCTTATACTTCTTTCAGGTAGATCGTTTAAGAAGTGAGATAGCTTTTTCTGCCTCATTCTTATTTTGGTTTTCATATTACGGATCTTGGTTCGCGCTTTATAACATCAACTATCTTCTATTCTTCCACAGTCCATAATGATGTTAGGGGGAAGGAACCGGACCCCGAATATTGGTTATTCTTTTCTTGAAACCTGTGTGGTTTTAGTATATTAAATTAAACTTGAGAGCAAACCAAGAGATCGACTAGATAACAACCAAACTCTTTGGTAAGGTTAAACTAACAAATCGAAGGAATACGACTTTGGTCACTACTATACTACCTCTCTTAACAAGGTTATACTTGGCCTAGTCAAGGTAATAAAATATAGTGCATAAAGTTTATTACTCGTATGTGCATCATTAGGATCACACTAGTTTATTTGCTTTAGAAACTTGTATTGATTTTTTCGGTTCAACTACATGTATTGAAAGATTTTTTCAATTTTTGGCTATATAAATATTCGAAATTGATAAGTTCATAAGTGATTGTATAATAGAAATTTGCCCATCAACATGAAATAGATGAAGCAGAGAACCAAGGAAGTTGTGGACCGCACTGAATTAAGTCAGGGACTCGAGTAAATAGTGTAATAATCATATGCGTCAAGTGGAGGAAACTGACTTATGTTTAGAGATTGCAATTTCGATCTGTCTCGTTTTACCCGACTTGTTTGGATTGTTTTGGAGCGGGTCCGACCCGTCCCGTAGACAGGACGAGGCAGGCATCGGTACTCTTATCGACCCGACATGTCCTGACCCGCCCCATTCTCGACTCGTTCTTTCCTAAATTACATGTAATCTTTGTCAAATTACTCATGATTTTCCTTTTATTACATCATATTTTTGCTACAATAAAGTTGTAAATTAGTGAAAACCTCAGTTTCTCCAATAGTTTAACTACATTTATTATAATATGGTTTGTTTTATCCGTCTTATAATGAAATTAACAAATATTTCTAATATTTCCCATATAAATTACATGTCCACTAGGTTGACCTGCTTCAACCCACGATCCATGATAAATTACCCGACCTATACCCAACTTGCCACAAGACGGGTATAACTCGCCCGGAACCTGTCCATTGACATTCCTACTTATGTGTGCGGGCTGAATCAGAAAATCCGTCCATCTTAGATACAATTTAATTTGTTATGGCTCCGCCCTCAAACCAGTAAAGATAGACTTATCCTTTGATTTTCACCCCCAATTACGACCAAGTCAATTCTGGGTAAAAGTTAGCTAGGGTGGATAGTAAATATAAACAAAACGGAATCTCTCCCACAAAAATTAATCCCGCAAAAAGCGAGAACGGTATCAACTATACCCTCGCATAACTTGCCAAGTGTTGGTTGAAATTCCTGAGGTAGCAACCACGTGTCAGATCTCTCGCTTCCCAGAATCCACGTAGCAAAAGCTCCTCCTGCATGTCCCATGCAGATATATCATCACAATTAATTTAATTAATTTAATATATTTAAACATAACCCCGATCCATTTATTGCCTCTTTGTTCAAAACTTATGAGAATAGAGAGAAATCAAAGAAAAAAAATGAGCCAGCAGCAGCAGGCGATAAGGTACGGGGATCTGTTCGAGGTGCAAGGGGAGCTGGCGGAGAAGGCGGTGGCCCCGAGGGACGCCGCCATGATGCAGACGGCGGAGAACACCCTGACGGGACACACCCAGAAGGGAGGCGCCGCTGCCGTCATGCAATCCGCCGCGGCCAAGAACGAGAGGGCTGGCTTCGTCTGCCACGGGGACGCCAGCGACGTCGCCGATGACCTCGGGGTTAGCGCCACCGAGACCGATTTCCCAGCCGGGAGGACCGTCATCACCGAGTCCGTCGGCGGCCAGGTATCGCCTAACGATACTTTTTTTTTTTTGTTCTGACCACATCTAGCTAGTAACGTGACAAATCGATTTTCGTTTTGGGAAGCGAGAATAATTATATCGGTATTATCTTCCAACAATTATAGGGTGCTTGTATTGAAAAAGCCCGAATCTGTCAATTCCTTTTTGAAAATTAGCCAAAATGGTATTATTTGGAAGTTGGGAACATTTGTCTTTTACGTTAAAATTCAGGTAAAAATAGGGTTTATTTCTCCTTTGTTTAATCGTGACAAGTCATTGATGTGCGCGTCATAGCTTGCTCAAGCAAGAACGAGGGTGGCCGCCCCGGGCCACGGCTCAGAGCCCAGCCCTTACTATGGATTCGAAGCTAGTATATCCCTTGTAAATGTTCGAGATTAGGTACTCGTTTCCGTGCTGGTCGGGTTACGACCCAGTCAGTCCTCTCCGCCTTGTTTCCGATCCGAGCAGATGTCGATTTGGGTTCCTAAAAATTTAATATAGAATTTCTCTTTTACGTATTATGGATTCCTGCGCGTATTCTGAGCGCAGGTCGTGGGGAAGTTTGACCAGGGCGGTTCCGCCGTGGCGGCGGGGACACAGGGCGGGGGCTGCGGAGGCGGCGTGACGATAGGGGAAGCCCTGGAAGCGGCGGTGCTGACGGCAGGGAAGAAACCAGTAGAGCGGAGCGACGCGGCAGCCATACAGGCGGCGGAAGTGAGAGCCACGAGCCGGACCACCATCGTCCCCGGCGGGATTGCCGCGGCAGCTCAGTCGGCGGCCACCTTCAACGCTAGGACCACCAAGGACGAGGAGAAGACCACTCTCGCCGATGTCCTCTCGGTAAGAATTTAATTAATATGTTTTTTTTTTCCCTTTGTTGTTGTTGGGTGAATATGTTGTTTCCCCTAACATCTGTCTTATGATCGAGGGTTGGATTATATTGTTGTGTTCGTGTTATGCAGAACGCGAAAGCAAAGCTGCCGGCGGACAGGCCGGCGACTAGGAAGGACGCAGAAGGGGTGGCGGGGGCAGAGATGAGGAACGATCCGTTCCTCACCACACATCCGACAGGGGTGGCGGCTTCTGTCGCGGCGGCTGCTAGGCTGAACCAGCAAGCCCTTCACAACAAAAACAATAACATCGACGACATTGTACAATAATTGTTGTTGGGGTTTTTTTTTTTAATGCAAACTTGTGAGTTTTGCTTTTTTTTTCTTCTTTTTTTTAGCAAACGGACGAGATGATGCCTCGTAGCTGCAATGTTTGTTTTCCGATCAGTACATATGAAGAGTTGATTTCCTTTCATGTGGGATGTGCATTCTAGTTTTATTCCTTAATTTGCCTTTTTTTTTTATGTCGAGCACGGTGTATTCAAACGGTTATAATAGTCAGCGGCCGATCATTATTACTGGACACGTCAAAAATAAATAAATAAATAGATTAAAATTTTAAACGTAAATAATAATAATATTCATGAGAATATGAGATAATGAACCGTGAATAGCAGTTGAATAAATAATTGATAACCGTTGCTGATATGTGGTTTTGGGTGGATATTGACAAATGATTGTATGACTGAATTGTACGAACTGAAAATGGGCTCAAGATAGGGTGGGCTCAAGTCTCAAAGATAAGGTGCAGAACTATGGGTTATGCACTCATCAATCACCAAATTTGGACCCTTCATTTAGAAAATTCAGATTTAAGGAAGGAGAATTAAAAATATTTTTTATTTTTTCTAACTTTCTTAATTAACTCATATATTTTTTGTTTTAACTCTGATTTTAATTTTTTTTTCACAGATGGAACGAGTTCATCGTGCTCTATAAAATGAGATCAATTTTCAATATTTTTTTAGAAAAAAAATTTTGGCCTCTCGGTAACAACTGCATACCATATGGTATCTTCTTCGTTTTTAATTCGTTTTTGAAAAAGTTTGCACAGAAGGGACGAGTTCATCATGATCTATTGGATCTACAAATTTCTGAGTGAACAAATTACAGGACAAAAAAATACCACACAATACCATACAATACCACCCTGCTACGGGGTGGTATTATATGGTATCTTCTTCGTTTTTAATTCGCTTTGAAAACGTTTGCACAGAAGGGACGAGTTCATCATGATCTATTGGATCTAAAAATTTCTGGGTGAACAAATTACAGGACCAAAAAATACCACACAATACCATACAATACCACCCTGGTACGGGGTGGTATTGTGTGGTATACAATGTTAAAAGTCGTAAATGACAATTAATATACTTCTATCATGTATTCAACCATCCTACAGTCTTGGTTTGTTCATACCACCATGGTACGTTTTTCAAACCATAGGTATGCTTTTATGTCAATACCAGTCAATATCATATGGTATAGACTGGTAAAAAATGGTTCAATTTTTTTTGTTCGAAAAATATATTAAAGTGGATATCATTTTGAAGAGCACAATTAATCTGCTCTAACTGTGCAAAAAAAAAATTAAATTTAGACTTAAAATGAGTGAGAAATCGTCCGTCAAAGATTAAAGAGGGGAAAATTAAAGGTTTTCCAGGAGAGAGAGGATGCTGATGTCATGCTGATGTGACGGGTTACGCATGGTTACTTACCATAAAGTTACTGACCTGATCCATTCCCCTGAAAATGGTGAATGGAATCTTGAGATGGATTCGAGATTTGGATATTTTTTTTTTTTACAAAAGATAATCATATATATTGATTGAAACAAAAGATATTACATCCTGGATAACAGCCAGGCCTGGAAATCAAAATAACGACTAGTAGCCGGATACAAAGCAATGGCCTTTCTAGCCACCAAATGGGCTACCCTATTGTTACTCCGACCTACAAAACGAACGTTGAGAGCACTATGATCTGTAAACATCCCAATAAGCTCCTCCAAAACCACCCCAATCTGGACATCATTCGCATCCCTCTTTATAAGTTTGTCAACGACATTCAGAGCATCACCTTGGAAACAAACATCCTGAAAGCCCAACTCTAGGCACCAAACTACTGCTTCCCGCAGAGTCAGCACCTCAGCCACCAGAGGGTTATCAAACTCCGAAAACTGCACGCCACGAGCCATCAGAACATTCCCTTCAAGGTCCTTAAACACAATCCCTCCATCCGCATGAGACCCAGGTTTGGTTGCCTCATCCCACATACAGGTAACTGGCTGCACCATAGTGGCCAGACCCAGAGAGGGGTGAGAGGGAGACACACCCACAACCTGATCCACGGGAAGCGTGACCCATTCTTGGTATTGCTGATAATACTGTCTGAGTAGAGCTGGTATCCCAAACTGTTTCCCTTCAAAGACCACCCAATTACGGGGTCGCCAGATACGCCAAAGAACTGGAACCACCGCCATAAACAATTGTGGCTGATTAATGATGGACATCAATCTTTTCAAAACAGGGGGAAGGTATGGCGAGGCAACCCTTGACCAAAATACTCCAACCTTGTCTGATCCCAGAGGGCCCTGGCTACCCTACAGTCTAAGAACAGATGCTCCATTGTCTCCTTCTCAGCCCAGCAGACAGGACATCGAGGCTGAACAATAATGCCCTTCTCCATCAGCGCTTCAGTAGTTGGAAGGATGCGACGGAACACTTGCCAAAGGAATACTTTAAGTTTAGGGGGAATATTGGCATTCCATAACCGAATCCAACTTTGCTTATCCATCCAGCTAACCACAGACCTCCACCGCCCCTCCTGCTTATCCAGCAACACAGCGAGGTGATAGGCCGACTTAACTGTAAAGACTTCATCTGCTGTCATATGCCAAATAAGCTTATCCTCAACATTACACCGAGGAAGGGGGATAGCCTTAATCACACTACATACTGCTGGGTCAAACCATTGTTGGAGCTTCTCACACACCACCTTCCTTCCCCAGGGCACATAACCGCCTCTACCTTCGGTTCATCCCCTACTGGCATGACCATGGGATTATAAACCGGGCTATCAGGGTGAAGGAGGGGGATCCAATTCGAAGAAACCAGAGGGGCAGTCCGCCCATTCCCAATTTGCCAAAGGAGACCACGGAGAAGCAGTTGACGGCCATACAGGATACTCTGCCATCCCCAAGAAGAGCGGGACCTAGGGGCTGCAGTAAGAAAGGTTCCCGGGGGGGAATATTTCCCTTTATAGACCTGCGCCAGGAGAGACTGGGGCTCAGCCAGGATTTGCCACCCAATTTTTGCCAATAAGGCCTGATTAAATTGCTCAAATCTTCTAAAGCCCATGCCACCCTCATGCTTACTGGTACACATAGAATGCCCCCCTTAACTCCCCACCAGAATCGAGCTACATGTCTATCCAGGAGTCGGCACAAAGACAGAGGGAGCTTAAAACAGGACATCACATGAAGTGGTAAGGCTAAGGCAACAGTCTTGATCAAGGTCTCCTTAGCCGCCCATGATAACGTCCTCTGCTTCCACCCTTGTAATCTGCTTAGCAATTTCTCCTCCAGGAAATGGAAGGTATCCACCTTAGACCGCGCAATCAACGTGGGGAGTCCCAAATACTTATCCTGGACCCTCACCGCCCCAACGCCCAAAATTTCGGCCATGAACTCCTGATAAGCCAAAGAGACGTTCTTGCTAAAACAGACCGCCGACTTACCCAGATTAACCCTCTGTCCACTTAGCTCCTCATATGTGTTTAGGACCTCAATAAGGTTCTCACACTCCAGCAGAGAGCCACGGAGGAACAAATAGGAGTCATCCGCAAAGAAAAGATGCGAGATACGGGGGGGCCCTAGGAGCAACCTTCACCCCTTCCAACCGCCCCTCCGCAATGGCCTACCGGAGAAGAGCTGCGAACCCTTTTGTACAAAGCACAAAAAGCAACGGGGACAACGGATCACCCTGCCGAAGACCTCTAGTCGAGGTAAAGAACCCGGACGGCGTACCATTCATGAGCACTGAGAAAGAAGCCGACCGGAGACATTCCTGGACCCACCCATACCAGACGGAGCTAAAACCTAACTTCCTCAAAATCGCAAGCAGAAAAGGCCATTCAACTCTATCTTAGGCCTTTTCCATGTCAACCTTTAGAGCCATGTACCCTTTCTTCCCTTGCGTTTTGATCTTCAGATAATGCATTAACTCATGTCCCAGCAGAATGTTCTCCACGATCTGCCGCTCCCGAATAAAGGCGTTCTGGCCCTCTGAGACGATTTGGGGTAAGAACTTAGCAAGCCTCTCCGCCATAATTTTAGTAATGATCTTATACACAAACTGGCTAAGGCTAATGGGCCGGAGCTGAGTCATGTTTTCAACATTATCCACTTTAGGAATCAACGTAAGCCAGGTGTAATTGAAGCTACGGAGCAACCTGCTTGAACTAAAGAAGGACCGCACCGCCTCAATCACCGAAGGACCCACAATATCCCAAAAGGATTTAAAAAAATTCCCAGTGAACCCATCAGACCCTGGGGCTTGCTTAGCACGCATTGAGAACACAGTTTTACGAATTTCCTCCGGAAAGACTTCCGCCGTAAGCGACTCATTCATCTCCGCCGAAACCTTACGATCACCGGTAGATCAGCAATCCTATCGTCCATGTTGGGGACAAGGTTCTCTGCCGTGAAGAGGTGCTGATAAAAATTACTGGCTATATCAGCCTTCCCTTTCTCATCTGTAATCCAGGCACCCTCCTCATTATAAAGCCCCGAGACAAAGTTATGCTTCCGACGGGCTCGGGTGACTGTATGGAAATACTATGAGTTTTTATCCCCTTTCTTGAGACACTGAACTCGGGACTTCTGTTGCCAATACACTTCCTCTGCTTCCCATTGCCGGGTAAGTTCTGTCTCCAACACCCTAACCTCATCCCAGTTAATCGGGTGACTGAGCTTCACCCTATCGATTTCAGTTTGAAGGGTTTTGATGTTCCTAAGTGAATTCGTAGTCCCCGCTCTACTCTAATCATAAAGCAAATGGCGGAGCTATTTCAATTTCTCCCACAATTGATACATCGGGGTACCATGTACCTCCTCCAACCACACATACGCCACCATCGCCTTGACTTCCGGGTTCTGTGCCCACCGAGCATCAAAGCGGAAGAGAGGCCGAGTATGTCTGACATACGGTTTATCAGAGAGGACTAACGCTCGATGATCAGATCCCTGGTCCGTAAAATGCTTAATCAAAGTGTCTGGGAAAGTATCAAGCCAAGCCTGGGAGCAAAGAGCTCTATCCAAACGTTGTCGAATACACGCAGCCCCCATTCGTTGATTCGTCCAAGTGAACTGGTCGCCCTGAAACTCCGGATCCTGAAGACCAAAGTCATGAATAAAATTCCTTAGAGGGATGGCCGGGGTAGCAGACCACCGACTACCACCATCCTTTTCATTTTCGTGCAAAGTGACATTGAAGTCCCCAATTATCACAAAAGGTAAAAGGATTCCATCACACAGCTGACGGAGAGCGAGCAATTGATTGGCGCGAATGGGTTCATGGCAACTAAGATAAACACAGATCACCACATACTACAAATTGCTTTCATTAATCCTAACACAAATTGAAAAATCTGAATGAAAAAACACCGAAGCATCAACTTCGGGGGACCAAGCTACAACTAAGCCACCAGAAGTATCAATGGCATCAACAAAAAAACAAAACCGCGAATTAAAACCTAAACCCCTCATACGACAGGTAACTACTCTCCGGCTCGATCTTGTTTCCGAAAAGAAAACAAGGTCCGGTTTATTGGAACGAATCAAACCTACAGCAGATTGGAATGTGAGTGATGACCCAATTCCCCTCACATTCCAGGCGAGAAGTCTCATTTATCTTCTTGGATGATTGATTATGAGAAATGTATTGTTGATACAAACATGGAATATGTATGGACCGCGAGTCAATGAGACGACCTAGATTGATTGAGACCACATGAGTAGTGGTGGTAATTGGATCGGATTCGTAGATTGGATTGATGGATCCATGGATCAAATAGATTGGATCCAATGGATTGGTGGATTCATGGATTGGATCAAGTGAATTGGTGGATTATCCATGAATCCAAATGACATCCTCAACCAAGGATCAATATGTAAAATGTGAAAATTTTAGGTACTAAAATGTCATAATGAAAAATTTTAGGTACCAAAACGTAATTTTCCAATGATATTTTTCGTATAAAAAATTAAATTTTGGGTACCATTTTTTAAAATATAAAAAGTATAGATACCAAATCGTAATTTGCCATTTGGATCCATGGATCAATCCATGAATCCATCAATCCAATTGGATTTGGATCAAATGGATTGGATTTAAATGGATTGGATTAGGTGGATATTTTAATGGGTTGGTGGATTGGATTCGTGGATTGGATTGAGAATTGTCACCTCTAGACATGAGTAACATGAGATTCATTTAAACGGGGAACTCAATGGGAAGGAATTGATTGCTGAATTGGTTTGATGAAAGTGATGACAATGGGTCGGGTTGGTGCGGGTTTTGTCAAACCCAAACCCAAACCCATGGGTTTATCCGTCAAAAAAATTCGGGGTAAAACCCGTTGAGTTTGAAAAACTCAAAACCAACCCAACCCGCTGGGTATCTGCGGGTTCATGGGTACCCGTGGGTTTTGTGGTAAAAAATTTACAATAACAAGTTTCTTTCAAAATAAAAGTTTAACATCAATTTTCTCATACAAATTATTCATACAAAAAACACCAATCTAGAGCATACGAGCAAACCACAAATGATCAAATGCAAATTGTTCGAAATTAAAGATAAACATCTATAAACAATAAGATTAATTGAAAGCTTCTTCCTCGTCAACTAAGTTTCTTCACTCTCCATTTCATAATATCAACTTCATTCTAAACAATTAGAAAGAACAAATTATACATGTCTACACAAACATAAAGAATATTAGTTGTTTAAGGAAGATATATTATTTAGAATATTAAATATACCGGAAAAGTAATTATATGTATGTGGCCGAGTACCCATGGGGCGGGTTTACCTAAACCCAAACCCAACCTGACCCGGTGAATAGTGTAGCGGGTTTAAACCCGAACCCGGCCCAAAACTCTTCAACATCGTTGTTGACTATGTGGTTTTGGGTGATATGATTGTTTGAGTGGTGATTGAAGTTATGAAATTGTTTGGATATTAACAAATGATTGAATGTCTGAATTGTAAGAACTGAAAATGGTGATTGGAATTTTGAGATGGATTCAAGATTGGATGATTGGATAATTTATTATGAGCAATGTCAAGTTGATAATTGACGTGAAATATGTATGGACTGTGAATCAATGGGACGATATTGATTCCTAGATTGATTGAGATGATGATGAGATGAGTAACATGAGATATATTTGAACTGTGAACTCAATGTGAAGGCATTGATTCCTGAATTGGTTTGATGAAATGTTTGACGTGAGATATGCATGGTCCGAGAATCGGTGGGACTACATTGATTTCAGATCGATTGTTGATGGACGAGTTAATCAGTGGGATGGAATTGATTTTGGATAGTTTGTGATGGAAGAGAGAAATGAGAATTGTTTGATTCGAGAGAAATGGATCTTAACTCACATAGTCATAGAAAGAGCCTGCACTTACCCCCAACCATCGGGATTGGATAGATTTAGCTCGCTTTTGCATTGATGATTTTGGTTGCATGAAAACCACTGATGATGTTGATGATTTTCTCGAGAGGTGGTATTTGTATGGTGACCTTGGCGCCCATTAATAATAGACCAGAATTTTCATATCATGCATTGATTGTGTGTTTGTGAAGCTATGTGATTATCATGTTGGATAAACTAGTTCGATGATGGTGACCTGATGGAATTGATATATTGATTGATCTTTTGTTTCTACTGACCTAGGATGGCATCTAGACTATTGATCTGCGATTTATGTGACAATGTGATTATCTGAATGAGGTCCCAGTAGTTAGGTCGTGGGAGAGATCCACACGCAATGCTTAGTTGGTGACCCAAGTCTGTGCAGTTTCTTATAGGTTCGAAGGAATTGAGATAATCTTTGGCACTGCACAATGATCGATGGAGGATTGGTTTTGAAATTTTCCTGGATTTTGCAATGATTCTCATTTATATTTTACGGGTTGATAATTTTAGTATGCATATTCGATAATACCGTATTGAGCATTTTAGGGAATGACACTATGATTTGGTTTAAATAGAATGAGCGAAATAGACCGAGTTGATCTTTTGTATATGATGAGTAATTTGAGAATGGATGTGTGGTGGATGTTGGTTTAAAATGATGCTAGTATGTATTAACGGTGGAAAAATAATTGAGTTTAGCGTAACTCTCGAATGATTCGGCTATATGGTTGAACCAATGAGTTTTGGGGTGGGGTGTTACACCAGGCACGCTCTAGCGAGCACATTTATGTGGCTATGTGAGTCACATTACTTGTTTATGTACCCTATTGTAGTGGGCTCTCAACCATGAGTGCTTTAAGAAGCCTACATTGTGCCCACTATATGACATGTTCAATTTTTTTATGCTCACGATTTGCATTTGCGCCTCGGCATGCGTATGATGCATAAGATAGATGTGTGTGCAATATATGATATTCGACATGGATTGCGCCTAAGAATACATACCTATAATATATTTACTCTTGAGTACATTGTTATAAAGTGAGCGATGGTTGTGTGGCAGGGTATGTGAGGCGACCTTTAGTCATGAGTGGTGGAGGACTAGTGATCACTAAAACAAAAGCTCTACTACAAACTAACGTGTTTAACGGAGTGCAATGGACTCACAGAGTGATGTAAGCTTTCTCGCGTCTTCACAATGACATTTTTTGACATGTGTGTTTCCTTTTTATGGACGATTTTTATGGCTGACTTATATCTGAGACTACACAATCCCAAAATAGTTGGTTTACTTGGTTTGCCACCCACTTTACATTCAATGTTTATTTGCGCATGTTCTTGGCATAGGCATTTGATAATGGGAGCATTGGCAAACCTACCATTAAGTAAGTAGGGCATGTGTGCCCATTGGATGACATTAATGTTTTTCTGGTGCGTCTAGCAATGGAGTTTTGAATGAATGTTATTAAGATCTTCCTTGCGAGCACATTTTCTTGAATATGTGGGTCATATTGCCTATTTTTGCACCCGCTCAATATGGGCGTGCAATAATGGGCGCGTCAAAAAGTTTACATTAAGTGGACATAGCATACGTTTCCACAGGTTTTTGCAGCCATGTTTGGCTCAAGCTATTGGCCTAGCTCGTGGGAAGCCTTGCTTCAGTGTATCTGCAGAATAGTAAGGAATGGAAGTAAAGGTTTTGTGCAGGGGTTATATGGTGCTGGTATCTTAGTGTTTTTTGGAAGGAACACAACATTCATATACATCAAAGGCAACCAGAAAGAGTCCAGGCTGTTTAGTGTTGATTCAGCAGTTGATTGAAAACTTCAATTTTTATGCTATGGAAAACTTTGCTTTTCTTAAAGAAGTTAGGATGTCTCTTGTCTGTTTACTTTTATTTCTGTTTTCTGTTTTTGCAGATGTCTGGAAACGAATAGAAAACGGAATGAAAAGTAAACAAGTTTTCTCGTTTCAATTGCCAAATTTATGACATGGAAACAGAAAACCGGAAACAAAAATGAAAGTGAATAGTGCCTTTGTTTTTTTTTTTTTTAATACAGAACAGTGGAGCAGAGTTGCTCCTGGGTTTTTGCAGATCCTGGTTTCCCCAGGCTGTGATTAGCGAAAGCTGATAATTACCGGGGAAAAAAGTGAAAAATAAAAAATATCTGTTAATCTCAACTCTTAGATCTTATCCCACTCAAAACCAAAGAAATTATAAAAAAATGCATAGCTAATGGTTATCCACCCTACCCTAGGACGAGCCTATAATTGAATCAAAGGAAGCCAGCAGTATTGCAAACACCAGATAAGAAGAAAAACGGAAACCTCAATCGGGTACAGTTCTTGCCTAAGCTATTGCTATACGTAAATAGAACCCTACCAATCGGTCGAAGCTCGCTCTGCTCTCTGGCTACAAGTAGGAAAAATGGTAACCAAAACAATAAAAAGTACAACAGACACCGAAATGAAATTTTCAGGATCGCGAAAACCTGGTCCTCTCTTTGTTTTGCACATAGATACAGAGAAAGGTAATGCTCCAAGAATCTCTTCTTCAGATATGGGTTGACCGCTGATCCTCCTTTTCAAGCCCAAGTTCTTTGGACACGAGTCTCAGCAGAACTTGAACACAGTCTCGCACTTTCGCTTCCCTGTCCCAATCAATCATCAAACAGTTTCAGCATGAAGAGGTCGAGATTGTCACTGCAATCCCTACTAGTTTGTTTTGGAAGGTTTCCTTACCGTGTCATTATGAGCTCACACAATGATGGGAACAGAACGAGCAAATGTGGACGCCTCTTCTGTTCTTCCTTGTCCGCCAAGCCATCTCTCAAATAAGGATGTAAAGGAAGGACAGTTGCTGTTTCGGGATGGATTTCGAGACACGCAAGCTCTTGAAGCACGTACTTGATCTCTTCCAGCCTAGTTCTTGGCAGCGGACGATCACCTACAGTTTGCGTGTATGAAACAGAAACATTAAATATTAGCCTGATCTGGAGAAGTTCGCTAAGTGCAGCACAAGCTACGTACCCAAGTGTTTTTCATCAACTAGAAATCTGTTGAATATGTAGTGGCATCGGCTTAGAAGGAGTGTGATCGCAATTTTGCTCACTTCAGATCTCGTAGAGTTCCAGCTCGTCATTTCATTGTCACAACTGAGGTCACATTACAACTATGTTACACTAAGTTCTTAGTGAACGGAAGAACATATCTCACTAAAAGAGCTATAACTATAGAAATTTTCGCCAAGTGAGGACATTACCTGCTCAATGCAAATACCTTCTGCAAGCAATGCATGGAAAATCTGCTACAGTGGGGCGGCATAAGCTCGACTGTCTCAACCGGCAAAGAGCACGTTCGTGATGCACAGCCATCCATCGTGGAAACTAGTCGTTGTAGAATCTGTACAAAATCAGAGCCATTGAGATAAGAATACAGCGGGCATCAATTTAGGAATCGTGGATTTTATTTTTATCCCAGTTTCACAGAACTATACATCGACAGGGGCATCAGTCTGCAATTTAAGAATCTTGTCGCCTAGAACTTTCAAGAAGGCCATCTCGAGCGCCTCGTCTGCTTCAAGTGCTATGGGTGAGACAGAGGTGGTGGGAATGGCACGCCCACAGTAACCCAACAGGAATATTTCATACACGTCGGCAACTTCCTTCCACACACGTAGTCTGGCAGGCCGGCTAACTTCTGAATCAGGCTCACCGTCTTTGCAGACGTCATCGATGAGGATGCGATTGAAGCCTTCAACAGCAGCCCGCCAGAGTGAACCGTCTGGATTATCTCTTCTTGTCGTCATGCATCTGGCGAACATATTTTGAAAAATTAGGATACTACATCTTTACTAAAATTTAAATTTTTTCGAAAATACAAAGCAAACACACCCTTACTACATAAAGTACCAAGGACACAAAAACAGTAATAAAGCACAATAGGACCATTACCTTCCAAGGCTTTGAATTATTTCCGGGAAAATGATATACTTCTCAACAGTCGGAGCTTGAAGCAAGAGTTCAACTAGCACAGGGACTAGCTTCTCTGCAAAAGAATAATTTGAAATGACAGCCGCAGCTGATCCGGAGCTCTGGGGTGGAGATTCAACTTGTTTTGAGAGGCCAGAACTAGCTCCACTCGGGGTTTCATTCTTTCTCTTCATTAGGTTGTCTAGGAAGAAAATTGTGATTAAATCAAAGTATTATTTCAAACGCATAAATCCCAAAAAAGGAGCATGTAACAAATGTGTACCAAGTCAATTCAATACCTGCAGTATTTTCTCCTAAGCTCGCTTGTTTAGCTCCCTCATCCTCATCATGTAAAAGATCGGACTTAGGAAGGTATTTGAAAATCTCCCTTAACAGGATTAGCCACATTCCAGAGATTTGCTCACTTGGACGTAGCAAAGGTAAGACTTCCAGGACAGTACGCATCACAGGTGGAATGTGCCCCTAGAGAAGAAAGAATCAGTTCGATTAGACACGGTTCCATCATCTGAATGTGGATGAAAGATTAATACACCAGGGATGGAGAGTGCTTCTCTTACAAATTCAGCTTCAAAGTTTTCGTTGGTCATCAGTGCTTGCTTAACAGCCAACTTTATGATATCAAGCACCTGAGAGAACATGTGATCATCAAACATCTTATGTGCCTGCACATACAGTTCTCCTGCCAACATAGTAATGAGTTCAGTGAGGCATAAGTATAAGCACAAGTCACAGTAAAACAAGGGTTTGCCAGATGATTAGTAGCATCTTGACCTCATAGACCTCATGAATTTCTATCATGATGGATGTAAATCTCAAATCGTGTTGCTCTTGTATGCATATGCAGCTAAAGACACTACGGAAGTTTCAGGATGAAGTGCATTACCCAGACCATGTATGATCTCCTGCTTCACCTTGCTAGTTGCATTACCACCGTAGCTTAATGGTCTTTGCATAACATACTCGTAAACTTCAAGTATCGAGACAAGGTAAGACATTGGCAGATTTCCCTGAATAGCACCCAAAGAAGACAAAAAAAATAAGCAATAAAGAAGGCTGGAAGTATGTACAATTGTGCTACATGCAGTCTGAGAAACATAATAATGATAAGGCGGCAGGATTCAAGCTGCAATTGTTGCACAAGATCTGGTTTAGTGATAACGAGATGACCTTGTGAGCATGAGAAATAACAGTTGTCTGAAGACAATTTATTGCAGCAATGGCAACCTCTTTGCTGCTACTTAAAGTGCTATTCTTTACAAACAAAATCAACGACTCCCACCCTGCATGGATCCAAACATTATGCAAGATTCATGAGAACCTATTCTGTCGAAGACACTATGATAGGAGATAGGAAGCAAGTTTGCAGCCTACCTGCCCAAAAGTTTTTCAGGCCACTGAGAAATGGAAAGAACGAACGTAGCAAACGTGCTATTCCACCGAGGACTAGAACAAGTGTTTCGTCCCACTGCTTTTGAGCAGTGTTCCGACTGCAAATTCAAGCATAGAAGAAAAAAATGAAACAAAAAGGTTTTGACTGAGGTAGGAACTTTTGTAAGAGTCTAATTTCAGTTTGATTCCTTCCTAAACCATATTTAAACCTGTGATGAATCAACATATGAACAGCTTTCCCTCCCCGAGTTCCTAGTTCTTTGCCCTGCCATTCATCTTTCGAGGAAGTAGCTACCTACAAAAACCACTTGAATCTGTTGAAACAAACAAGAAATGGGCTCTCACACAAAAATCTAATGACAGTGCTGCTACCATGTGAGATGCACGATCCAAAGCAGGGAAGATGTAATTCCAGAGACAGTCTTCCCACATTCTTCTTGAAAGCTTTTGCCCATGACTCCCTAGAGTTTGAAAAAGTGTCCTGACAGCTGCATTTCTAACCTGTAATGAAGAACCAGAGTTTCTCATTCAAAAAGATCAGTCAACAGCAATGACAGACTAAGTCCTTCAGTTAAATATTGGTCTCTCAAATCCGAATTCAATTAGAAAGTGCACTTTCCTACTCAGACGAAACTCACTACGCAAAAACAAGGTATTATACCTCCGGCCTTTCGTCAGCTCCCAGCCTTTGTAGTAAAGAGAAAACAGAGAAGAGCAATTGGTCACAGTCCATGACATGTTCTGAAGAGGGCTCATCAGTGAATGAATTAGGTGATGGGGGAGTCTCTTCTTCTTTTGATTTTCCCTTAATAGGATTCTGGTCAGAATGCATGCCTGAAGTACCTGTCAGTCACCAGGTATTTGGAAAGTTCAACATCACAAACATTTGAAATGATCAGGCTGAACTAAGCTAAAGGGTTAGTAGCAACTTGTTTGCTTGTCTTGCGGTGGCCTATTTGGAACTGCCTTAGCAATAAAATCAGCTGTCGTCCACAAGAGGCCTACTGCTGTCAAACTTATATTTAGCGCTGTCTTCTGTCCACTGTATGCTCCACTGACATCAATGCATCTGCATTACCAACATAAATACAGGTTTAATGATAGCAACAACTTGAAATCGGGATATATCTTGGATGTGTTTCCACTTTGCTTGACAAAAGCACTGATGTATATGCATCAGAAACGAAATCAGCACTTCACCATCATACTAACTGTAGTCAGAGAGGCACATCCTGAGTGCAAACAACCCAAACACAAATTATAAGCACAGCAGCAATATGATATAAGACCGTCCCAATGCATAACCTGCTACCATGGTTTGATCTTCAAACTTAAATCATAATGGGGCTTCAAAATAAGATTTATATGAAACTGCCAGAAGTGCTGCTAAGTTGATGCAGAAAATATCAATTAGGAAACTTACACGTTAAGGCACTCTACAGGTATAGAGGTAATCGCATCATTCATTATAACACGGAGACTCTGCAAGAGATAGAATTATACAAAACCATTATCACGATTCACTAACGAACTAACGCAAAAAACGTAAAATAATGGTCAGAAAAAGACTTTTAAATAACCCGTAATATATATAAGTTAACAAAACACGATCACACAACCATAATCACAAGTGACATTCATAAAGTATCATTTGGAAAAAATGTTCGAAATAATATATATAAATCTAACGGTCAGATCATCTGGAGCATACTATGCTCCTAGAGTATACCAGTCGTCTCCATATATATATATATATATATATATATATATATATAGTGACTACTTCAGTGCACACACTTTTTTGGGTGCATTAATTCTAACAATGATCATAATACATCAAATTTTAAACTTTAATTGATAGCATTAGTCTAATATGATAATATAACATAGAATCACAACTAATCAATCCATTATCCTAACCCTTTAACCTTCAATTTTGAATCTCAGCCCAAAACCCCAAATTGTAAACTCTAAACCTAAATTCCTAAACCCTAGATCATTCAAATTAAAGTAAAATATTGAATTATTTTTGAACAAATCCATGTGTTTCTTATTCATCATACCATAAGTGACGATTGACATCGATTTCACATAAATTGTCAGCCCCGAATGACGATAATTAGGCGAGTGCATTAAACGCCCCCCAAAAAAGTGAGTGCAGCGAAGACATAACCATATACACAGGGTGAAATCCGAGGTACCGCATACCTTAAGTATGAAAACACTATCTAGACTTTGAATTGACTGATATTTCGTACATGATAATTATACTCTAACCCTTAAAGATCAAAACTTATGTCTTATTTCTCTAAATCTTATACCCAAGATCAATTTAATTAGTAAAAATAATCGATGATTATGATTCGTCCAAATATAGGGAAAAAAAATGAATGTACAATCTCAGGGTTTATAGTTTATGGTTTAGATAATTAGAACCTAGGGTTCACTCATTAAGGTTTAGGGTATAGTTTCTGGCCAAAAAATCCTACTAATTCGAGGTCTAGTAGCATTTTCACCCGAGGTACCGTAGAAGCCACCATATATATTGAAAATTTTGCTTTTGAAAATATGACAAACTATGAAAATATTAGAGGAAAAACATTAATTAGCATACATATAAGTACGATTTATGTTAGCAAATCAAAGGGGAAAAAACCAAGTGTATTAAATTAGAGAGTTGTATGATTAAAGTAAAAAAGATGAATTAGGAACTGAAAAGAGAATTTTTGAAGGAAAAGGTATTCAAGTTAGTATGGACTGTTGTAGTTAGTCCAATATTTGAGACTCAACTTCACACATGTAAACAGTGTGCACAGGAACACAGGTACACAATTCCTTAAACATATATATAAGATAAGTACGCATACTAGACGGGTTCCTAATTCCCAAAAAAGTATCCAAGTATCAGTGGATCATTAAAAACATTAGATATCTACTTAACTGATGGTATCTGTAAAGATATGGAAGAAAAACAGTTTAAACTCACCTTAAAGCCCAGGGATATAAGATCTTTCTCTGGTGAATCAGCAATGCGCCTTGAAATGGTGAAAAAACATCAATGATCAGCCAGAGAAACAGAAATCAAGTCTGACAACGTTAATGACAATTTAAATTGCAAACCTCAGCAGTTCTAAAATATCTGGCCAACTGTAGTATAACTTTTCACCATGTCTCTGAGAGGAATAGATTTTCACGGTCAGTTCTTGTTACAAATTAAAATTATCTTAAGCAATTATATAATATAATAATAATTGAAACCTAGTTAAAAAAATCATTGTCATCTCCATTAATGGTGTATTACCTCCAAAACATTCAGAAGAATCTTTAACGATCCAGTACGAACATCAACGCTTTGAGAGGAAAAATAGAGAACCCTAATGGGAGATATGATGGAACACTCGAGTGTTTTCAGCTCTGTATTGCTCGTCATCTGGGGATAGAGAATACATAATGATGAGTAACGACTCCATATATTGAATGAGTAACAAATTATGTTAGTCATCCCTAAAGCAGTTGTTCACTTACATCTGGTGGCCCATTGGATCTGGATGACACATAATCATGGAAGCTTTCAGAACCTAAAATTGCAGTCATTGAGCGATCTAATGCATCAAGTGCCATGGCGCGTAAATGTTGATTAGGGGTATCAGCAAGCTGAAAAGTATGCAATGCAACGGATGTAGGAAGTGATAAAGTACATTAAATACCAAAATGAAAGGGATAAAAATCCCATATCACCTCCAGGAAGTGACCAGCAATCTGACCCCACAGTGGTCCAACTCCTGCAATGCAATGGGTTAATTAAGAATAACAACAGGGGTAACACAAGCTCCATAAGAAACACCCTTCAGGAGAGTAAGAAAGAGGAGAGAGGGGGAAAAAACGAAAAAGAAAGTGGGCACAGAGCACAATATAATATCCCCAGCAGCAGTAAGACGCACTGGTAAGACCACAAAATCTAGCCATACACAAAGTTTGAGTTTCAGGAAGTAAGCGTATTCCTACTGTGAACATTGTTGGAAACGATGGATAGCATCCTCTCGACAGCAAAACTAATGGTTCCTATTTTTTGACTGATTCCTGGTCCAAAGCTGCCCGATACTGTTGCTGTGGACATGCATTGATATGACAATTGGCACAGTGCAGAAAGTAGTGATTTAACAGCAGCTATATGCATCATTGCTGAGCTCTCAAACAGCTTCACCAAAACAAGAAAACAAAGTTAGAGAAGGTATGAAATCAACTCTGGCCCCTCTTTCCTAAAGAGATTAAAGGCAATAAAAGAGGGAGAAGACAAAAATGAAGGACCAACTTGAAACATTTGCAGGCCATGCTCATTTGATCATAACCAAATATTCTAAGGCAATTCACTTTGTCAAACCCTGATGTAATCGAAAACTAATAGTAGCATTTCTTGAAAATTTCACATCCCTGAATTATTTGTTACCTGAGAATTCAAAGAAGAAAGAATGCTGAAATCACTATATTGGCCAGAAGATTCTCTTGTAAGCTTGGGCACAGCTGCTGACACCTCCTGCACAAACCCAAAATGAAGTTGTTAACGCACAAAAGTTCACCAGCATATTCTGTGAAGAAAGAAAAAGAAAGAGTCCAGAAACATAGAGCACTTAAGGTGACTGCCTAAGACTGACAATAAGGAAGCTGAAAGATATTAGAAAGTTAAGATGTATATGGATGCCTCTCGGCCCATGGTTAATTGTGTCTGCTCTATTTAACTTTCTTTTCAACCTTTACCAATTTGGACTTATGGGGCCAAACAAGGAGTGGGTAAATGGTGGTAGGAAGCATTTTGTTGAATATGTTGTTTTTGGTTCTTTCTATTGAAAAAACCTATCTCCATGACTACGTGTACTGATGGTATAAATAAGCAATAATTGGATCAAACTAATTAGGACAAATAAAATACAAATCTTACCAAAAAAATATATGTTTACATATTTACCTGTGTACTAGCATGTGGTGAATGGATTGCTCTGTCTAGAGCAGCTAAAGTTTCCAAAACCTGTATTTACCACAATAGAAGCATTACCAAGCTGCAGTCTTGCATATTTTTGACACCAATAACATCTCGACAGAAAAATGACGTACCAAAACCCATGATGGCCCCAAAAAATTGTGCAATCTATGAGAAACGTTGAAGAGAGTCCTCAAGGCCTGAATTAGAAGAGCAGTTGGACCACAATTTACAGACAGTTAAAGTCCCGAGTAGGGAGTGAAAGCAATTACTTAATTAAAGTAGGGAGTGCAAAAAAAAAAAAAAAATGAAAGTGCCATATAAGAAGTGGGACAAGTACCTGCACATTCTTGGTAGTAAGAACTATGGAGTCCTTCTGTTCAACTAGTTGCTCAGAACGTTTTGACCCTGGAGACTGTGCTGCACTGTAGAAATGACCATTTAGTCCAGAACTTTAACATTTTCATGCAACCAAATCTTGGAAGTGGATGCAAAGTCGTAGAAACTGCATCACCAGCACCAGCTAAGCAAGCTTCAATCAGCAGTTTTAAAAAATACTGCTCAGTTAGATTAAGTGCAAAGGGCAAAATCATAAAGCTCTCAACTCGATCGAACTCTAATTATCCACTTGTTTTCTGACGCAGCTACAACTTTCCCTTAAGAACTGTCAACTTTCAGAAAGTATCTCCAGTGGCAGCCTTGTTGAAAATGCACTGGATAGGTACTGCTAGTTAAGTCCACAGTTCCAACTGCCGATTCAAAGTCACCTAGCACTTAGAAGCTTCCTTATAAATTACAAATATACAACATAACTTGAAATGGGTACGCCCAATTTTCTGAAAGTGCTAGGGAATCGGGATCTACGTCATTTAAGGACTAGACTTAGAAGGAATACAAAGAAGGAACGTAAATTCAGAGGGCGTGAGCTGGTATAGTGTAAGAACTTTCTCATGATGGTAGGACACAAAGCTTCAGATGATAAAATATGAAAAATGAACCTCTGTTAACAGACTGGAACAGATAGTTGAAACGCACCTCCTCTTCTCTACTTCATTTGGGACATTGATGGTGAATTTACAAAGCGATGCAAGAAAAGAGTTCAGAGGCTCAACAGCATGAAGAATCCCACATGCCTGTAGAATAAACCTAGAATTCATAAGCATCATTTACAAAAAAAAACTATGTGAATCGGTAAAGTTAGGCCATATCATCATCAACTTAACACCACAAGGTTTACAAGACCGTTCTGAGCCAATGTAAAAATTCTTATTACCTGTGTGAATGCCTGGTAACCTTTCAATATTTCCAAGACAATAGCCTCTCCTTGTGACCTTTAACATAAGATTCTGGTCAGGAATATGCATAACTTTGATTTAGGTTTGAAAAAGAAAAGAGCAGGGATTTCAGAGCAGTCTGAATGGACCATGCTCCTTTATGATGTTGAGAAGAGACGAGGGAGAAAACGATCAACCAAACAAAATCTTAGACTGAACTGATTTGGGATAACTCAACCAACCTTGATAAAATAAGGGACAACGCATCAAGAATAGTCAACCAGAATGAGTCTACCATTGCGAGGCATAGCACTGCCAGTTGACCAGCGCATTTGGATGCAGGATCATGATCAAACTTAGGGGATTCAAGCTGGATGCAGCCAAAAAAACAAGATCTACCATCCTTTAGTTTCTGAGAGATGTGCATTCAAGAGACTGGGGCAAGAGAAATATAATTACAAAAGTATAATATAAGTACAGTACAATCACCTCTCCAGTGTCTACTGCTTCATCTGTCAGAGTAGCCACTGTAAAAACAACACCGAGGAGCCCTTCAATTGCCAGTGTTATTAGATGGGCTTCGCTAGCAACCACCACAGCTGCATTGGATGCATCATTATCAAGGCTCCACTCAACTCCTGCATTAATACAAACTATGGAATTACAAAATAAAAAATGCAACAAGGTCATAAGATCATATACAGGTGAGAACAAGTGACGCAAGTAAATCAGTCATGAATAATGTCAATTCTGAACCATTGTCCATCGTGACCTTTCACAATAAGTTGCTTATCATACACACCAGTACCATGACACGGGATGGTCCATCAGACAAACCCCAATTCACCACCAGCACGAGAAAATCATTTGACCCATATTTGCAGTTCTCAAATAAAAGTGTCATGCAATTTAGTAGAATATAAAGGAGATACAACCTTCATTCACCATTAGCATGCAAAAAAAAAATATAACTTGATACTGAAAGAGATACTTTCCACATATTTGATTCCTCAACTAAATTTGGATGGTAGGAAATCCCTTTTTATCATAAGCAACTTATCGTCAACAAATACCAGCTTCTCTTTTCTACTAAAACTAAAGAAACGCTAAACAGCTCCGGCTTGAAATCATCACAAAACTATCACAGTGCAAACACAGCACAAATTCCAAATTATAATGTTTATTGAATTCAGAGGCAATGCTCATCTGTTTGTTTACGAATGTCAGTAACAGCTTTGCAAACCATTCATATCGCAGCAAGGTGATGATGGTAAAATTTTGGTCACTTCACGGAATGCTACCTTTAGCTTTACTACTAAACATTCCTGCAACAGCTGCCAAGCTCTCCTCGCTTGCTTCTTGAGCCTAAAATTGCAAAGATAACTTTTATATTATTGAGAAAATTAGTATGGACAAAAGACAAGTTGTAAAACCTTTTAACTCCCACACTTGGAAGACAGAATTATTGACTAATAAAGGGTATTGACATGAGGGCACTACGACCAGGATGAGAGTAGATAACAACCTTGAGGCTTAATTATCTAAGAAGAAAAAAACACTGACAGGTTGGTACTCCTATACAACCATAAATGTTATTAAACCACAGTGATAGCACCACGAATATAAAGCACCAAATGGTACTCAATGGCACGAGAATAGAGAGGCTAAAAATACTGTAGTTTGACTGTGCTTCAAAACTGAAGCAACATCTTAAACCAATCATTATCAGTAACAGAAACATACAACATAAAACTATAACGATGAAGTGCAGTTTTCTCTAACGTGTTCCTCTTACCAAAATAAATCGATTACCAAAAGTATAAACAGTAGGTGCCAAAAGCGTGAACACATACGCAGAAGAAACAGGCACTCCAAACGTGGAACTAGCCACATTTATCAACAAAAAAACGTGGAACTAGTTCCAAAGCTTGTATGAAATATCCATTAGATAGGAAACACGAAGAAATTATTAGCATCATTTATAATGAAATAGGAAACCGAAGCTGTCAAGCCAAAGGGTAGATAAACAAAATATAGACTTCAGTTGTTCGCATCAAGATGTAATTATTTAGTCAGCCATCTACAAACAAACAAAAAAAGTTTGACTAGACTTAAAAGCTCATCGCATACAAACTGGAATATACTTAGGAAAAATTGTCTCCAAATGAAACAAAGAATAACTATTGCGAAACTGATTAGGCCATTAATTACTACGAGATGCCTGCCCCACTAAACAACCTAAACAAATACCAAATAATATTTCACCTGTACATTAGAAACAACTCGAGCGAGTGCTTTAACCATACTCTCCACAACATTAATGTTCTTGGGGTGCCTACAAGGTAGACATGAGTGCAATTATTACATGTACCAATTAGCATCAGGGGTAGAAATCTCTTGTGAAAGAAGAGGTGACCAAATTCATGAAGTTATCAACACTGAAACAAATAAAAAATGACAAATATGCAAGCAAGTTTGCATTTCTGTCCAGTCATTTGTTATTCTTACTAAAACACTTTGCATGCAGATATTTCAGTGGATTACACGATTATTTTGGTAGTATAACAGCCGAAACTACAAGACGACTGGAGAAAACACAAAGAACATGTAAAATTCCGATGTACTATGACAGCTCAACTTCTTATTCCGGTTGGTCTATATGTAACATCACAAGTAACTAGCAAGAGAGGTAGCAGTAAAAAAAACTAGCAAGAGAGGTTGATGAAGTTCACAAAAATGTTACTCTTGCAATTTCCCGTCATTTTGTGCTCGCAAGCTCATAAATTTGATGGTTCAACAACACAGACAGGTGAACATGCATCACCAAATAAAGTTCAATTTCCAAAGTGTTGAAGATACGTGATTACTGTCCCAACAGTGGCCTACTTGTTCTTAGACTGGAAATACACTTGCTTTCATGGAATAGGCTACAGTCAAAAGTGTATAGGATCCCTACTCATCCTCACTATAGAGGAGTCGAATATACAGAACAAAAGAGAAAAAGTCATAGATGGAGACAGACAGAAAAATAGAGACTCTCGAACATTTGACAATGCGAGAAGGATAAACTGAACATATCTTACATATCGAAGTTTTGGAATAGGATCCGCAAAGTCCTTGCTTCCACACAGAACCCCTGAAAAATACAAATGAACGAGTTGGTACAAATTGTTAATTTCTACAAAAAAAAAAAACAAATTGTTAATATATGAAACAATCCAGAAGCAACAGGAGACATTACCCGCAAGATCTCAAGAACAAGAATGCGATGCCAAAGTGGTAGATCAAGAAAGATAACCTTCACGAGCATGCTAATGAAAACCTGCACTTCAGAGGAGAACTTTTCTTATGATGAACAGGTCAGTTAGAACTTAGAAGACATTTGAGCATTACAAACAGCATTGTGCATACGGAAAAGCCATTGAAGTTTCAAGCATTGGACATAGAAGCACTTTAACTTATAAGAAACCACTGAGAACTTCCTAAAAGGATTTGAAGAATGTAAGAGAGTACCTTCCCCTATTACATTAGAATTAACAATAAATAAATAATTTCAAAACATACCTCTGTCTCTGTGACAAGTGCTGTACTGTACAACCTAATAATATGAGAAACCGATCGCAGAACCAACCGCCGAAATGAAGGTTCCCCAACTTCTCCTTCAAGCTGGGAGAAGTTAAAAGGCCAACATTGTGTGGTTGTTAGATTCCTCGTAAAATAGAAGAAAAAAACGTCCTACCCTCATAAAGAAACCTACCTCTGCATCAGTACGAAGTGAAGTCATCAGAAGAGAACATATCTGGTGGCGCAAAACCTGTTTAGTTATAAAACGAATTTCATAAAGAGAAAAGCTATGAGCACAGTATATTAACAAAACTGGAATGAGGATCCCTACAGAATTAATTCTACGTAATACCTCACCTGTTCAAAAGGAACCAGGGTCTTGAAAATAACCACATAAGTTGATAGAATGAACCTATAGAGTGGAGGAGTTGTGAGAAACAGACAAGTTTGCACAAAATGTCTCTTGATAATAAGCCAGGAAAGATAAAGAACAAATGTTCAAGATACAAAATTTTGGAAATAATAATCTACAGACAGAAATTTCAACTACATTTTGGACTGATGACTTATAGTGGGTATGGACAAAGCAACTGCGATGGCAACAGAGCAACTTGACAAAATGCACACAGCCTCTTGGTGCTAAAAGTTTGGTGGTGAAAAATCCCACCGAGTAGCAGAAGGCAAAGCTTGGCTGATACAGTTTAACATACCATTGGTACGTTCTCTATTTTATGTACATGATGAACTTTATTAATAGAAGAAAGGAAAGTATAATACACAAATATGATACTGAACGTTAAAACAGATAAAACCAAAATAAGCATGGATGGCAGAATCCTAACAATTGCTATATATTAATACTAGCATTAACCCTGCCCTTTGGGCAGATAACTTTTAATTTATGTGTATATGTGTAATATGATTATCAAAGCAATGATTTTCTAAAACCGCACAATTAGTTTCCATCACAAAAATAAAGGCCTAGAGACACCACGAAAAGGAAAAGAAATCTCGCATCTTAACTTATAGTTAAAATTAAAAAGAAACACCAGAAGGTCCGTCCATCTTGATGAAGTTCTTCGGGGAAAGTTTGGTGGGCATATAGTGTCGTCTTGTGGTGTGAAGCCGATCAATCTATGAGAAAGAATCATACATGCATTGATGGCCAATCCTCCCATCCAAATAGTAAGGATTATTTAACATATGTTAGTGAGTGAATCTAGATACAAAATATCTCTATTTATGATATATCGAGATTTTAGAATTTGTAATCTCTAAACCTACAATACACATAAAATGGAGAAAGAAACCATATTCGTTAAATCTCTAAACTTTATGAATCTATACTTTGGATTTCATTCTCCAAATGACCTCTTGATTAATTTACCATTAATATTTTAAAACATATTTTCGATTAAAAATATTTACAAATATTATGATTATTATTTAAATGAATTAAATTATTATTATTGAGGATAAGTAATCATCACAAATAATTATAATTTATTTCATCATCTCCTCCCATATCTCCATCCAAAATAAATTGATCAAAAAGAAAAAAGTGAAAACCTAGTGCAAGGAGGAGTCTAGCCTCTAGGGGACGGTTTAACGGGGATAAAAAAACATTAGTTTTCCTGAACAAAAAAAAAAGACATAGAGGCGAACGCGAATGGTAAAATGAAATTAAAAATTAAAAACAAAACTCAGATTACCGAAAATTGCGGTAAGGCTTTTGAGGCTGACGTGGAGGGGGTCTTAATCTTAATCCTCTTTAATATATTTTAAGACAAGTAACAAGCTGGGAACATGCAAAGTACTCTATTTCAGTAAAAATGGAAAACCCGCCCATCAGGCACCCGAGAAAAGGAAAAGAGGAGGGGGCGGGGGAGGACAACGAAGAGTAAAAGATAGGTAATAAATGTGTGGGGGGGGGGGGAGCCTAGAGTTTTCTACCACCTCAACCTGAAAAAAACTACCCTAAAAGCAAATTATTGTGCACAAAGAACAGTATAAGGATTAAGAACAATGAAGAATGAAATAGAAGAGCAAGCGACATACTCAAGTATATCAAGGGCAAATATCCGTTGAAGTGAATGAACTTGCAGCCAATTTGCCTGTAAGAGAAAAGGCTCAATTAGTTATATCCATTTGATAACCTTACAAAAATAACAAACTAATTGAGACAAACCCAAAAATGTCATACAACGAAAACAAGGAACATTAAATGCAGCAAGAGTGTATTCAATAGACTGATAGTTCCAAATAGCACATACAGATCCACCTGCAGCAAGAGCTGTCAGGTCTTCTAGTAAGCGAAGTCCAATCTTTCCAGGATCTGTCAGGGTCTCTTTCCTCAATAATGATCTCTCAGATTCAAAGTCTTTTCCAGGTGACCTGTTCATGCTTAGTTAGAAAAGTAGGAGAGCGTGTTTTATGATGAAATTTACTGAGAAAGTACATCAATAAATGCACAAATTCTATAATCTCTCCCTCAGCTTCTCCCACGTTGCTACTCTTATATGGAACACTCTGGCCTGGCTTAGTTATACTTAAATTGGTTACAGGAGGTCTTAGAAAATAATGTTCATATCAACATATATACAGTTTTGTTCATCTATATACTACGGGACGCACATGCCAGAATTATTGCATAAACCAGGCGTGATTTCTTCAAGGCGTGACATACTCTGAAAGGTTCATACTCCGATTAACATCAACAGTAACGGAACTAGATCGAGAAAGATGAACTCCGGAAGAAAACTTCCCCACAGGAAGAGTCTCAGCAACAACTACTTGATCAAACACCAATGCTACTGCCTGTCGGAAGGTAGCGGCAGCAGTGCTGAAAAAGGAATAACAATTAAAATGGATATATCCCATGAGACACAATGACCAAACAAAATGTCCGGAATAAACTTTATCACTGAATTCAGCATGCAACAGTTTAACTTACTTTCTTACGCTATCAGAGCTACGGTTGTTCTCAAGAAGCCGAAGACATACATATAGTGCTTGAGCCATATTTTCCTAAGACAAAACATTGCATTAGACGCATAACAGCTTTGAGTGTCATTGTGAAGCCAGGCATCTAATAAGCAACCATATCACCCTCTATGCATTGGTAGGTGATTTTTGGGCCCTACCAAGGGAAAGGAAAAGATATTTGATAAGCTTCCTTTAACATTCTTTATCAATTAATACTTTCATTTTTTTCAATGAAGTTTACACAGACAGAACCTACCAAAAGAGTCGTAAACCAAACAATTCATAGAAAAATCAAATGAGAGTGACAAGAACCTCATTTTGTGGGTGTAAACGTGACTGAAACAATATCAACAGAGTCTGCAGGGTTCTAAGTTGAACAGTGTCATCTGCCATCTCGGAATGCTGCACAAAGAAAGTGATACGTCCAAAATTATAACTAGAATCTAATAGCTGGTAACTCAGGGTAAAAGAATGCAGAAAAATTGATATGAAAAGGAATTAAGTTGAATAGTCAACCAATCTATTTGCACTGGATTCATATGGATCGCAAGTTCTTGTACCAGTTCATTCTAAAATGTGTGTTGAACTAAGACAACAGTTCATAGGGAAGACGTACTCACATCTTTCAATGTTGAAAGTATGTCCTTCAAAGCTGATGGTGCAACTGCATCATGGGATATGAGCTTTTGCAGACAGGAAAGTCCAATTACACTGAGTTTTACAGTCTTCACTTCACATGCCATTAAAAAAATTCGTAGAATATCCTCATTATGTGCAATTTCACTAGGACTAGACAAATTGCGGAGCTGCAGGACAAAACCATGAGCAACAGGATCAAATTCCGTTGCAAAAAAATATATCTGCACAGTCTCTCTTTGCAACGATAAAACTCCAAAAAGAAACACTCATTAGGCAGCCTAGCAAGTAAGGTAAGGGTCTAGGAGGCAGAAAGATACAGATATAGCTAACATAACATTGAGAACGAAAGAACAAATATCAAAAGAGCCCTTGGATAACCAATAACAGGGCAAAACATGTTAAGCCCTCCTTTAAGATTCTATACTTTATTAATGAACGGTAATATCAAATTCCCCCATTAGACTAAGATGGAACTCATCCAGTGCACAATTCCAAACCCATATAAAAGAAACTACTTTCTCAAACCTGAGCATAAAAATGAAGTGAAAGCAACCATAGTTCCCAAAATTGCATGTAAGAACTATTCAATAAGTTCCCATCGGTCTATAACTTCTACATAGAGACGAGAAGGTGATGATAATATAGCCAATGAAACTCCAAATTGAGCGGAAACAGAGGCTATTAATGGCAATGTATGTAACATTCTGGGAATACTGGAAACGTTATACTGCCAACTAAAGTGACAGTAGTCACTGCATAAATAGTGCCCCTGAACTCACCAAGTTCACATACATCATTCTACAACTGTCCACCATAGCCGAAACTACTACAATATGGTTGCTACCAATGAAATGAAAAAGTTCAGATCAAACCGAAAGACTAAGATTGTGATAGGAGTAGGACAGCATTACTTCAACTCTCAACTGCAACACCATAAACTAGGTGGCGACAAAATACGAGCACCATATTAAAATCTCAGCAGCAGTAGTCGTAACTCGGAAGGCTTCCAACAACCAAAGCTCAGAAAACTACTACTGTTTAATGCTAAAACGGCATCCATCTCCAAATTCCAATGCTTCCAACAGTTGCACAGCTCACACATTAATATCCACCATCGGCAGAAACATTTGAACAACAGTATCCGGTCAGGGAAATTCACATTTTACTAACCGGCATAACTAATTCTATGCTCATTCCTCCATCCTAATATCCTCGTTGAATCAATGTAAGTCACACTCCTGATCACCATTTCTACACAATACAAACACTAGACAAATGTGCAGTGTGTGGAACGTATTGGGAATCGAGTTGCAAAGAAAGAGTCGGAACTCCTAACCTTTATGATTGCATGCTCCGCCCCATCTTTAACGGCAGGGTAACGGCGACGAGCTTCGGCCGATAGAGCCCGAAGGTCAGATTCCAAGGCCGCCATGAGAGCCATGGCTGGAGCTCTACCCGGGGTCGAACTCGCTCCAGGAATGACAGGGGTAGGGAACTTGGACGAATTCGTGATCGAAGAAAATGAAACGAGGTGAAAATGGTGTGCGATTAGCAAACTAGGAGGGAGATCAATTCAAAGAAAGAAAGATTGGCGAGGAAAATTGAACAAGGGAGGAGGGGAGCAGTGGAGAATGAACGAAACCGAAACAGATCCGAGATCCGTCGGTTTCCGCACGTGCGGGAGGGGACACGTGTGAATGAAATGCAAGCTGAAGGTTGGGCTTTGACTTTTGGACCTGTCGTGAGGCCGATGATTAGTGATATGGACCCAATTTGGGCTTCTACCACTTTGTTACATTATTGGTGGGTATTATGCGAACTGACCAGCAATGGGGCATCTAGATTCTAGACCCGCAGTAGCGTGGGGAGCGGCATAGATATCTACTTGTGACCTGCCCTGCCTTGTCATGTCCCGTCCCACCATGTTCTTAGCTCATTATGTCTCAATTTCTTGTAATATCTATTCATATTTCTATATTTTGACTATTCTTCAACTAGTTACACTCAATTACCTATTATATTGTCACTATTTCTCATTCATAAGTGTTTTCTCCTTTCGATTTATTGTAAAAAGTAAAATTTTGCGCATATTTTTTAAATAATGTGTAAGAGTGAGTCGACCCACTCCGCCCCCACCCGTAGTAGCATGGGGCGGGGCATGGGTATTGAAGTACCCGCCCCGCCCCATTGTCATCACTAATCTTGACATCCCAATATAAAGGTGTTGAATCTTTGACTCGGATTATAGTGTATATGTGATTCTGGCTTCGGTTTGGTGTTGCCAAAATCGTGGTCGAATCTAATATCAAGATTTTCAATTGCACCTTTGATTTCAGCTCTTGTCATTAGGGCTGAGAAACGGTGCGTTCTGGTCCAGACCAGACCATATATATCGTCTATGGTCCAGATCGAGAGGCTAGAGTATAGACCAAAGACTATACCACATACTATACAGTGCGGTCTGGTCTGGCACGGTCTGGTCCAAATATACCACAATGAACGATTTGTTTAGTCAACCACTCAAAAAATTGAATCAATTACCGAGAAAAAATGATTTTTTTCCTTAAAAAATAAACTAAAACATGCATGAAGGATTTTGACATCCTAAATCTTAGTAAACAACAAAAATACAAAGTCAAAACATCCCAATTTGCTTCATAACGTCATAAACATTAACATAATGTCATATGGAGACTCGATCGTCTCTACTCTCCAGTAAATTGTGAATAAAAGAGAAGGCAGGTTTCTCAAAATTAGGGTTGAGATTTGGGTCTCGATGGGAGAATCGGGAGAGTGGTCGAGTGGGGTGCTAACACGTATTGGGAAGTCGAATGGGTCAATGGTTTGGTATAGTAAACCGCAATCTAGACTAGATCAGACCAGACCAAGATATCAAAACATCATATAATACAAACCATTCTTAATGGTCTACGATCTGGACCAAATTGTGTGATTCTGTTTGGTCCATGGTTTTTCAAACAATCTGATCTATTTTCCCACCCCTACTTGTCATGGTACAAGAACCAAGGTTAGAAGTTGATGCTCTCTCAACATCTTCCCCATCTCTTGGTGGATTAAACCTCCAGTGTTTGCAAAGGTATGTACCTGTTTGTCTAACCGAACCATTTGTTTGAAAATTGATTGAACTTTAAAGTGGAAGGCATCAATTCACATACCACCTACATCATTCGACTTTGAGTATTTGCCCTACAAGACTCTTATCCGGAGCTAATCCTCATTTAAAATTTTTTACGCCAATTTTATCAAATTAACCAAGTTCAGTTCCTAGGGAATCCGGAGACCAAGACCTCCATGCTCTTTTAGTTTACAATTAGTCCCCCCAGGTAACATGATGAACTTTTAACTTTCCCTCCTAACTTCCCCATACAAAGGTGCATATTCTTTTCCCGATTGTATCACAAATATACATCTATCTACACATAATATAATACACCGAAGGGAAAAACGGGAGCCCCATTTCAAATTTCCTGCAACGAGAGTGAAAGTAGGAAGGACATTTTGGTCTTCACAATTACTTTTTTTTATTCATTAAAAATATATGTATTGGGATTCGAACCATGACCATTTTAAAGAAAGGCAAGGATCATAACCAATCACACTAAGTACATTTGTTGTATCCTTTTAAATTAAAAACATATAATAGCAGGGTGGAAAAAACTCTTCCCCCATTTCAAATTCCCTGTTCCATGAGCGTTTGTAGGAAGGGTAGAATAGGGAGTGTCAATTTTTTTCTCTTTTCTCTGTGGAACGGGCCAACTTACCGTACACATGCGGATTTAAACGAGTCCAGGAGTGTCAATTTTTTTCTTTATACCTTTTTATTTATCCGTGGTGATAAAATATATATGAAAAGGCAAAAATAATACTTCTTTTTATTGTTAAAAATAAAAAATTTAACAATAGACTAATGCATGGTATCTAATGGGCTAACCGCTAACCATAAAATAAAAGAGTTGAATGAGCCTGACCTACATGAGATTTGGTCATCAAGTAAAACAAATGAACATCATGGGTTTGCCATTCTAAAACAAGCTATTTTCTCTGGCATAATATATATTATGCTATTATTTTATATCTTAGTGGCTAAAATATAATGTATTTTAAAGTTATTCAATGGTTCAACCTCGACCAACCCAATTAGTCCAATTTTTATCATTTCAAATATATATTTTATAATTATTTGACATCATAATGATCAAATTATAGTATATTTTATAGGGAATCGTTTGGTATTTGTTAGTAAAAAACTAAACATAAAAATCTATTTGGTTATTTTAAACATTAAAACGATCCTCAACATTTTCAGTTCCTTTTGAATTTATATGGTTTTATTCCCGAATAAGTGATGTGCAAATGGCGAATTGTAGTCGTCTTTTTTCTTTCACTATTTTTTTATTTTCAAATAGAAAGTTTAAAAGTAAAGAATAATTAGAATTTGGCATGGGTCGGTCAAACAGGTTGAATTTCAAGTTTTGGCCCATTTGTTTTATGCATTGCAAATTTATTAGCATGTTGATGGAAATGGCTTGGAAAAAAGACATATAAGTTGTATCTTTGCATAAATGTCCTCAAATGTTTGAATGCTTTGTGAATCAGGTTCTGTGACTTTTGTGATGGTGTATGTGCTTGACGATTGCTCGATGTTGTAACTACTTAATTTAAGAGTAAATCTTTTGATTTTCCCTATGAGTTGTGATACCAGTTCTGGTGGTTGCAGCATGTTGTCGTTGTTGGCCTGTAAAAGTTGTTTCGCCGTGATGCTAAATATCTTTCTTTCTTTTTTAACAAATTGTGTAGTAGTGCTATGAAACAGACCACCCATGAACGCTACGCTTATTATGGTATGTTCTTACTTCCGGTGGTGAGAAATTGTGAATTGAGAATCATATTCGCCTACCGCACTATGTCTGGTTGGTGGCTGCTTACTGTGCTCTCTAGAGTTATGAAACAGACTACCCATGAACTTTACCCTTAAGAGTCCATAACTTTGCGAAAAACCAAATATAGGCAATCAAAGGTGGTGGATGTGTGATGATTTTTTATGGCTTAATTGTTTGTGAATTAGATATCTGATCTTTGTATGATTAGAGGGGATGTTTGCTTAATAGAATAATCCATTTTAATTCATGTTTATTTTTAACATGAACTTTAGTAGCTCAAAACCTTCGAGACACATATCACCTACTGCATTGTATCATTTTGCCTGGGTGCTTGGTGTGTTGTCAAACTTCTTTGCTGCTGATGCATTTACACTAACAGGGGAGTTAAGAACCCATGAATGTTTCCGTTTGACACAAACAAGAGGACTTACTTCTAAATCGTGCACTAAAGATGATTGGAGGAAACATCTCTGTTGCAGTTGATACACTGGAGACCATAACAAAAGCAACGTATAACATCAAAACCAACCATCTGAACTATTAGCATTGTTGCTTTACTCTTTTTTCGTGGTTGAGTCTCCTTCAGAAAATTTAGTTTGATTTTATAAAATTTTGCTTCTGCAGTCCTGTCTTGCCACCAACGCGTTCAGTAGATGGAGATGGCAGAGGCGAAGGCTATTTTGTGTTGTTGTTGCTGGTTTAGGGATCGGTTTGTGAAGAAGAAGGAGAAGAGAGGGGGAAAGGGAAATGCATGAGAGGGGGATAACTCTTTTCTCCGACAAAAATGGAGTGAAGAAAGGAATTATGATCAGTAAGGATATGGTTATCTTACATAACTGTGTCTATTCTGTTTGAATTGAGCTTGGGAGGTAGTGATAAGGACGAGCTGCAACCAATTCATAGTGATAAGAGTGCTATTAACTGTGATCATGTCTTATTTCAAGTTAGAAGGTAGTTTCAGTATTAGGATTATTTAATTCAACCCAGAACTCTGCTTAGCGCTAAAAATTGCCCTCACCCAACCTTTATCCTGTTTGACCCACTTCTGAAGAGTCAAGATATATTACTAATTCTCTCCGTTTGTATTTTCTTATTGACTCTTTCTGACCCTTTAGGTTGGGGTGGGTCGGGAAGAATCGGATTAGTGGGCCGGTCTTAATCAAGTGGAATCCCAATCCCTTCACTCTCACTTGCTTTCTCTCCCATTCCACAAGTGGGTAACATACAGTAATCCGGCCAACGGGCCGGGTAATAAGCTAGTTGGTATTACTATTTTTGGTGTAAGAAAAAGAGGGAAGAGCATTACAAAAAGACAAAGCCAAAGTCACTCTTCCAACCAAGGATAACGATCTGGATTTCTAGTAGGAAAACTAATGGTAAATTTGTTCCAAGATAAAATTGTATGTATCCCTTTTTTAGGTCTATAAATCTGGATCATGTCATCGCCGATGGATTTTTTTCCTGTTGTTTAAAATCTAGCATTTTTTTTATGGATAAAATCTAGCATTGAAAGACTGTAGTCCTCTACCACTTCAAGTCTAATCATCCAATCACCATTGAAATGGAAAACAGAAAACAAGGTTGGTGAGATGAAATCATACGACAACTTCCCATACATGAATCCATTAGTACAAGTCTCCTTCAAAGCACCCGCACTCGAAATAGACAGTGTGAAGACCTTCATATTCGATTCTACATAACTCATAATTTTATATGATATTTTGAGAAAATGCGTCTTATGCAAAGCAAGTTCGTTGCAGATTCACACATAGTTTCCCCTTATGCAATGTATCATATTGTAATCAATTTTGGCAACCTTTCCAATTTGCCTCCAACGTGAGTGAATAACTTTTATCATAATAACTCTTGTTCAGAGATTAAGTCTTTTTTAAGAAAGGGAAACAATTGTTGTCTTCCCAAGATCCAGTAGATGAGCACCTTTCCCCACCTATCTCTGATTCCATTGATTGTGGTTCTCTTGATTGTTAGTAAACACTCTAGGTCATTTTTATCATCATCTCTAGCGAATTTGTGTTAAATGTGGTAGATTTCCTTCTGAGATGGAGACATGAACTTGATTTCGACCAATGCTTCATTACATAAAGCCTTTGGGGTTATCATTTATATCACTTTCTCCGTAAACTTGATTGGGTTACCCTATTGACCAGTGAAATCAAAGTCCATGCTGAGAGTCTTTCTTCACTATGAGGCTCGGATTTCTTGTTATGTTGGTGTTTTCGGGCGAGAAAACTTGCGTTGAATTGAGATTGGATTGCACATTTGACTTCTTTGGACAACGATTTCTAAACACGGTTCAAACCTCTTCAAACACAATTCTGACGAGGATGTTTGATTGATGTGGGAATGAAAACTAAATTAAGTTACTCGTACTCCTGTGGAGGTTCAGCGAGAGAGCTCCAAACTACAACTATAGCTACATTTGCAGAGAAAGATAAAAACTTGACATAGGCGTCAGTTGTTTGGTTGTGGAACCCTTCTCTCTGTCGATCCTTCCTTCTATTTATAGCCATGGAGAGATAATTGTCATAGAAAACCTCCTCTTGGATAACTGCTTCTATTTATTCATTTTTTTTTCCTTCTTATTTGTCATTTTTCTTAAATGTTATTAGATTGCTAATTTCTTTATATTTAATTTTTGGCTATAGTTTATCCAAATCTCGATTAATAAAAAAATAAGAGACGCGACTATATCAGAAGTTGGATGTTCACATTCCGACCATCTAATCTTTGACTAACCAATAGTTTTAACTTCGAAAGTTGTATATAACTTCTTATTAGTTTTATCTTTGGTGTACCTAGATGTTAGGAGCAAGATATTATGAAATTCTAAAATTTTCTTATTATACTCGATTATAATAGTTTCACATAGAGAGTTCAAATTATCATATGTAATGATTTGGAATGAGTCAATTTTCAACATCTTTCTCCTCTGATGTATGAAAAACCGAGAAAATGTAGAATTAGACATTCTTGTGGTAGCAGAATTCCAATCAATGGTACATTTGTCTCCAAATTGAAAACACATATATTTCATGCCAACCATTCAAATTGTTACAAATGATGTCACCTATAAAACTAAAATAAAAATATCATTATAAATTCTTACTTACTCCCGAAAATGCTTATCCATTTTGCAATTTTACTCTAACAAAGCCTAAAGGAATTGAGGAGATGTTTAGCACAATATCTTGACTTCCTCTTGTTTACAGCAAATGAGACTTTTGGAGTGACATAGTTTTTTTTGTATAGGATGTACTTTTTTTGACATAACAACACCACAACACCAACATATGCTTGGAGGAGGTCCAAAAGTGAGATTCCACATATTTGGTAATTAAACACCCAAAAAAGAAACATTGTTTAGAAAAAAACTAAAGTGAAAGACAATTGCATATCATTAGAATCTTAATTATATTCCCCAAGTGTACATGTTTTAGCAATGGAACACAATTTCCTTCATTTTTATGAAAACATGTATTTTCTGCTTCATATTAATGTGATTACTTTATCATTTAGTTTGAGTGAATGGCTAAATTACACCTTTGGTCACCTAAATTACATAAATCTTTCACGTTTGCCACCCGAATTACTTTTCTTTCTTATTTGCCACTAACTTTACGAATTGTTTCACCGTTAGTCACAGGCCGTTATTAGTCTCCGTTAACTCCGTCAATTTATTGATGATGTGGCATACAAAACTGCTGACTGGACTGTTAAACTTAATGGCATGTCAATTTAAAAAAAAAATCATAATAATTAAACATCACCAAATCTAATCCGAGAAATTTAACCAATTCATTTTTTCCTTTATTAATTAATATTAATTTTCTTAGCAGCATCGACAGATCCCTTTTCTCCTCTGTCCTAGTGATTTTAAATTTAAATAAGAGATGCAACATTTAGCTTTGTCTTACTTTTTAGTAGAATACATACATTTTTATTTAAAATATAAAAATTATAACTCAAAATATAGTTTCAATTTCAAGAAAATTTCAGGGGATGAAATTTATAGAAAATAGAGGATGATAAAGCTATTAAAAATATAATATAAAATTAATCTCAATAAGTTTGGTTGATGAGGGAGATGTTAAATGTAGTATATGCTCGATTCAAAATTTAAGATCAACATAAAATTTTAAGAAATAATAGTGTTGAGTTGGAAATTCGTGAAGCGATTGCAAACAATTTTGGAAACGAAAAATGGAGATAAAAAATTTAAGATGATGTGCGAAATTATTAAGGGTAAGCACATAATACTGGGTGGAGGTAAAAATTATAAGAAATATAATCGAGTATACACTTCCTTAATAATCATTGCGTTAGAAATGTGTAATATCACTAAAAAGATGTTACAACCCATCACCAATGTATAAAAAAAATTATTAACGTAAAAGATCATAAAAATTAGAAACCATTGATCCCCTAAAAGAAACATACTCTACAATTGGGTTTTATTCTATCTGGCCCAAAAATAAGATGCCAAAGGAAAAGATAGCCCGATAAATAATGGAAAAGGCTTTAAATAGTGAATTGAGTAAATCAATGAGAAATGAGCTGAAACTTGAGTGACAAAATTTTTGTTGAGAACAACCATAATATATATTAAAATAAGATAAAAAGATAAGATTAAGATAAGAAGATTTGAAATCACAACTTTCAAACTACCCTAAAATTACAGTCACTTGGCTTTATTGCATAGACCAGGAAACCGGATCGTATAGGCCGGTTCAACCGAAAATTGGACCAAAAGCGGTACGGTGGGCTGATTGTGCTGATTTTACCGTGCCGGCCCGTTTTTTCGGTTTGACCGGTTGAACGGTTAAACCGGCCGGTATGATCCGGTTTCCTAGTCTATGATTCAGCTTCATTTCTCCGTATTCTCGTCCAATATGTGGAAAATAATTAAAAAGAATATTATTTTGCTATTTTTCTATGTTGAAAATGGGTCACCGTGGTTGTATAATGCTCTATTTGGTTCTTTTTTTGATGGATTATATTTTTTATACTATCGCATTTCATTTCTCTATCAATAGTGAAAAACGGTATTTACCGGTACAAAACGGTTGAACCACGGTCGTACCACAAAATACCATACCAGAAAGGAATCCGGTATGATGTCCGGTACGGTTTCCTTTACCATGCTTTATTGACTAATTCAGCGTATGGCAAATTTCCCCACCCAACAATCTATTGTCTCTGATTATGCTACGTGTCAGTATACAAGAGCGGCTTCCTTGACACAACAACATGAATACAGGGGTGAGTGACTAGGAATCTCTAAGGGGTCGTTTGGAAGTTATGATTTTAGATGAATGATTCTTTGAATTCATGTATTCTGGAGAATTCATCGTTTTTTGTTTCAAAACTTTATTCAATACATGCATTTGAAGTGGGTCCTCACATCTCATATCAGCCACAATCACTCATTTTAAATCTCAACAAAAAGGTGAGATTCTTCCTTTGAGATTGTTGGCTTTAATTTGTTTCACTTTTAGCTCATAAAGTGATTTTTTTCTTTTCTTTAAAAATTTTGAATGGCTACAACCAAACAAGACATTCTTTCAATAATCTAATTCTTACAATCTTTGTATTGACAATAGATGTATTCATCACATATTTGAAGAATCTCAACTTCCAAAACACCCCTAATTTTCGAATGATGTATTATGAGAAAGTTACATTTCTCAAACTATAAGGCGTAAGGATCCATTTCCAGCAATGTTTTCCCTCTTTTCTTCTACAATGTCCAGGTAACAATGGGAACCGTCTCCTATTAACTGCAATCAGGAGAAGAACAAGAACCTGCAGGAACACACATATATAATAGCCTTTTTTCCCCCTCCTTATAGGATTACAACTTCATTGATTCAATATGAGATTCCTTGTCCAGATTCCTCAATGGAGTTTATTGTGAGAAAGAACAATTACCACAAAGCAGTAGCTGAACAATTTACTTCCAACTTTCACCAGATCTTCACAACCAACTTTCTTGCATTCCTTTCTTTCCCTTCTGGCTTCCCCAGTCCAAGAAAGATAAAAGGCAAAAGAGTGGGAAACTTCTTCCAAACTTGAAGCAGCCAGTTTCAGTCCTGTATGGTCATCTTTTCTGCTTCACTCCTAATGGATTCAAATAGTGCAGTAGACAGGTACCGCTCGCCAGCACTAGGGAAGATTGCCTGCACCATGAAATTAAGCAAAGACGAAAGAAAAGAAAAATTAAAAAACCTGTATTGCAAGGTTGACAGGTTTATCTTGACAGCCACTGGACAAAAAGCTTCCTTGAAGAGGAACTCACAACAATGAGTTTGCCGCTGTTTTCAGGCCTCTTCCCCAGCTTGATTGCAGCAGCAGCTGCAGCACCTGATGATATCCCAACCAGCAACCCTTCTTTCAAAGCCAGCAGCTTGGCTGTTTCGATGGCTTCTTCACTTGACACCTGAAAAAGCACATAAAAAATGAAAGAAGCAGGCAAACCAATAGTTCAAAACCCATTTTTTCGGGTGTTTCGGATTGTGACTTACCGTAACGACTTCATCAAGCAAATCCTGATTCAGTACTGGAGGGATGATCCCAGCACCAATTCCTTGGATCTTATGTTGAGCTTTGGTAATTTGTGCAGAAGGTGGCAAATGAAAAAGGGTCAGGTATACAAGCTTGAGAAACTGAAGAGTTTTGGCACTTGTTTGTAGAGCATGACAAAGGAGAAGAAGTTTCATTGCTCACCAGCCTTTCCTCCATTCAAGACAGGACTTTCCACCGGCTCTATACCATATACCTAGATGGAAATAGAAAAGGGCAACCACATTATTGTTATATAGACACTGTCTTGGCTTGCACGCTCTTCTTTGCTCAAATGACAGAAACAAAAGGAAACCCAAAAATCTTACCTTGATATCTGGGTTTTTCTCCTTGAGGAACTGGCCAGCTCCAGTCACAGTACCTCCAGTCCCTATACCAGAAACCAATGCATCAACTTTACCCGCCGAATCCCTCCAAATCTCCGGTCCAGTAGTTTCGTAATGGATCTATATCATCAGAAATGAGAGAAATCAAAATCCTAACTAAACATATCCCATTCTGAAATTTTGCAGGACACATCGAAAGGAAGGGGAACTTTGAAATGGTTACCTTTGGATTTGCAGGATTCTCGAATTGCCTAAGCATGTAACCATTTGGGGTCTTGCTTAGTATCTCTTCAGACTTCTCCAAGACCCCATTAAAGCCCTTGGCTGGATTTGTTAGGACAACCTCAGCTCCAAGGGCCAAAAGGACAATCCTTCTCTCAATGCTCATTGAAGATGGCATGACAAGAATAACTCTGTAACCTTTTGCTGCTGCTATGAATGCCATTCCAATGCCCGTGTTGCCGCTGGTAGGCTCAATTAGCACCGACTTGAGGCGAGAAAGAGAGAAATTCACTATCAGATCATTGCATCAAGCAAACTAAAACTGAATACAGGAATGGACCTTTAGCCATACTAACCTTCCCTGGTGTTATGAGGCCTTTATCCTCGGCATCTTTGATCATACTATGTGCAATCCTAGAAAACATGAAAAACGAATTTCACAGTTTACTTTAGAACACGAATCTTCTGCGTCCAAGTAACTTAAAAGTGAACGGCACGAAGCAAGTTGTAGCACGTATAATATAGCGCATGCCTGTCTTTAACACTAGAGCAAGGTTCCATGTTCTCAAGCTTGGCCGCAATTCGTGCCCCACAACCATCCACCATATTGTTCAAGTATACCATCGGAGTGTTTCCTATTAACTGCAGTAGCAGAAATTGAACAAGAATCTCAATTCTACTTTGAAGTGATCTTTTTAAGTCCAATTCAGCGATAGACACTCGAGGTAATGAAGTTAGGAAAAAACCAGAACTTACTTCAGTAACATCATTCTTAATCATACAGCAGCTCTCCCCCATCGATCCTAACAAAAATCTGCACAACCCATTAAACAACACACAGTAAGGAAACCCGCAACCTTTGCACATGCATATAGATACAAATCCAGCTTTTCTCATTTGACTTCCTTCTCATCTGTAACATTACCTTCTGAATTGGATTAAGATAAAAACTTTTCTTTACCTGTAACCTGCAAACGGAACAGTTAGGGCTGATGCAACTCCTTGGCCTTAGAGGTAAAAAAAGACACTGCTTTTTGAGCTTCCAGGTACAAGAAAGATTGAGGGGAAAGTAAGAAGAAATTCTTGGACAAAAATGGTGAGTTTTCGGACTGATAACTGACAACCCAGTTGGATACCCTTAAAAAAAGCCCCAAAACAACTAACCCATAAAATTATGAGGTCATCATCATCAACAAGGCGGTAGATTTTCTTTTGGCTGCTTTCTGGGATTGTGACCTCATCCATTGCGCACGAGATTCCATGTTCAAATGGTCCCATTTGGTCAGCCATTTTAAATAACAGCAAGAACTGAAAATGACCATTGAATTGAAGAAAGGCCAGCCAATCGCTCTTCCTTCCTATCTCTATCTACGAGAAGCAGCCGTTGACAATTGACTATCTATCCTTTGCCATCGACAATACATGGCCTGGCTGGCCAGTCTCATAAGTTTAGCATGATGCGGATTTTGTACCACATCGTTGGAAGGGAAGAATTGGAAAGTGAAGAAAGGATCAAAGGAATATAAAAGAGAAGCTAGGTGCTACGTTAATCTAAAGGGAGCTAAAAAAAAGTCTCCAGCAAGGTTGTCAAACCGGTTTATACCGTAGTGACAATTTAGTTACAATCCAACAAATATCATCAACTTTTAACTATTACATTCATAAAATGAATAAAAAATTATTTTTTTATTCATTAAATTCATTAAAATGATGTCATTTTACTTAGAATGGTTAAGTCGATCATACCGGTGGTGTCATACCGGTTTCATGACCGGCACAGGTTGAACCAGATTCAACCGGGTGGCATGCCACCTGCATGCCAACCATGCCCTACAGTGTGTGAGAACCTGCTGGGCCTTTATTAACAACTCTGTTCTTGTTAAATTTTGGGTGGGCTTGATAGCCCACTAGAGGGTAAACAATCAATACCCAAGCCCTTTGCCTTCAACCTTGCGGAATCAAAATGGCAACACAGTTTTTTTTTTTTTTACAATAAGGCAACAAAGTCGATGTAACCTTTTGATGCTGCTCTACTGCAATCCCGGTTGCCACTGGTTATCTAAACGAGAAAGTCTCAAAACTATCTTCTCTACTAGTTATCTAAACCGAAAGACGCATAAGATATATAAAATACTAGTTAACAAATCGCTCATTAGAAGGAAAGCTTCAAAACTATCTTCTCTGCTAGCTAGGCTTGAAAAACTCACTGGCTAAAATGGAAACGTGAGATTAGAAAGATCAAGTTTTGGGACATGTCAGTTGAAATACAAACAAATAGCCAATGTTGATGTTAACCGAACATACTTACTCAATTATTGCCCCAAAATTGGTGACACGAGAAAATGGATAAAGCGGATGACAGTGGCATTACGAAATGATAAACTCCCTACCAAAATAGTATCACGTACAAGATTCCAAACACAGGAAATAAAAGGACTATAGATTACACAAACTACCTAGCTAGAGAATATAAAACAACGGATCTGCAACAAGGAGAACACTCCAAAATGGGATTAAGTGGGAAGGAAGAAAGCATTCATTACTCCGGCCAGTGACGGACCCAGCATTTTGGGATAGGTGTGTCGAGCAATAAAATAAATTATAATTAATTAATTAATTAAAAATAAATAAACATATTTTATTCATATATTTCACCAATTTCATCATTTCTTGCCGTGAACCACGACAATTTTTCATAAACAATTATTTTGTCCATTAGATTGCAAATCAAATATTTTTTATGTACAAAATTAAACAATTATTCATAAACTGGTCACTCAACTTATACCAAAGATTGTTTTCGATTAAACTCATATATGGAAAATGTCACTTTGTAGCTTGCAGTTGCAAGAGGTAAAGTCAATACTAGTTTAAAATGAGAAATTTGGTATGAGAAGCTTGAAGGGTGGCCACATGTGTCAACATGAAAATTTGAATGAGCATGAGGATGTCGTTGGCTCGATGCCGATAATTGAAGGGTGATAGCTCGATGCTGATAATTGAAAATTTGAATGAGCATGAGGATGTCGTTGGCTCGACAACCTGGAATTCACTATCTAATTATTTGCCTCAACCAGCTTATTAATCAAATTTAATTCTCATTCAAATAATCGATGTTGTCTCTAAGGTGATAGCTATCTTTCTAAATACTCCCTACATACTAAGTAGTCAATTAATTGTTTACTCTTGTGCAACCAACTAATTAACTAAATAACCTGAAGTCCGATAAGTTCTATATTACATATTTTAATAACATTATGACAATATTTTTTTTTTTTGTAATGTAATAAGGTGTGCCGGTTACAATTATTGGAGGTGTGTCGGAAGTCCCATATTCGTATTTTATAAACCGAAAATTTGTAGGTTCTTCACAAAAATTTCGAACCAAGGTGTGTCAGCTGACACACCTTGGTCAAGGGTGGGTCCGCCCCTGATTCCGGCCTGGTGAGTTTCACACTTAGAATAGAAGTAAATAAAATAAACAAGTCACCGCGCGTAGGCGTTCAAGCAGCAGATAGGCCTTTCTCACGGCGGCGATTGCCCGGAGGATTTCAATCGAGGAACATCGGAGCGGTTACGGGAAGACAAACCGTCCCACCCATGGGCCGCTGCATCTAGTGAGTTTCGGGTATCCACGGTTATCAATGGGTAATAGTTTCTCTTTATAATTACTCGAACCAATATGTTAACATTCACATATATTCTCACATTACATAAGAGAAAAAGTACGACAATAGTTTACTAAAATGAAGAAAATTAATTAAAACAACACTATTTTATGAAAATATTATATTTATATGCTAAATATAAAATATGTTAGAGAAAAATAATGATTATTTCTAGACAAAATACATATGCATGTGTATAATCAGGCGAGTTCGGATTGGATAATCAGAAAACTATGTCCACTCGTTACCCGCAATATTTAGGTTCAGGTTTTACCCATACCCACTAAAAATCTTTCAGGTTCGGGTTTTATCCATATCCACGGTTATAAATATTTTTGTCACCCCTACCTCTCTGGCGTAATCAAACTCGTGTATTCCGCATCTTTGATCATGCTATGTGCAACTTAAATAATGCCAAATGGGAAAAGCGCTCCAAACTTGATTGGTTTCAAGTTGAAAGGATTAACATGGGATCATGTTGGAATCAAATGGTGAGTTTACATGTCTGAAGGCAAAAATACTATGGGTCGTTTGGTATTGATGATAGTTAAATTGATACATTGATGGGAAAATTCTTACCAAATGGGTATAATGATTGGGTTCTCTCTCTAAGAGGCAATAACGTTTGTGGTGATCCACTTTTGTAAGAGAGGAAAGACCTAATGGACCACCACACACATGCGCGTGTTGTTCGTAAGGATGGCAATTTGAACCCGTCTCGCCGGGTATTACCTGACCCGCGATGGGGCTGGTATTACCCGACCCGCAATAGCGTGGGAAGGGGGATGGGTATCAACTTCCGACCCGCCCTGCCCCGCCCCGCCCCATGCTTGACCCATTCTAGGTCAATTTCTTACCCCATCCATTCATATATTTCCTATTTTGGCTTTTCTTCAACTAGTTAGACTTGATCTTTCAACTAAATAGACTCAATTACCCATTATATTATCACTATTATTCATTCATAAAGTCTATTTCCTTTCGTTTTATCATTAAAAGTTAAATTTTGTGTGTATTTTTCTCAAATAACATGTAAAAGTGGGTCGACCTGCCCCGTCATGTACCCGCGCGGGTATTACCCGCCCGCCTCGTACTAGCACGAGGCGGGGCATGGATATTGAGGTACACGCCCCACCCCGACCCATTGCCATCACTAGTTGTTCGCAGGGGCGGAGCTACTCAAAGAGTAGGGGCCCACCCGGGAATAGTCTCGGCCCCTAGAACCGTAAGAATATTTAAATAAAATTTGGATAAGCAGCGCTCGACCTATACATTATATCATATAACAATCATGTAGTTTATTGGCAACTAAGCTAAACTTTTAGTTTAAAGCAAACAAGTTCGATCCACAACAACCTCGTTTTTTCTTTAACTTCTTTTTGGACTTTATTATCTTAATTCTCCTCCACAAGGTCGTGAACCAAAGTCGACACTCACTCCTTTTCTTTCTTTTTGTTACTTTAATCCACCTACAAAATGAAAAAATCAACCTATATTTAGTTCACTTGGGATTTTTAGCTCTTTATACAAACTATATGATCTATTTTTTTATCTATGTCGGAATGAACATAAAGATTAGTGTCAAAGGAATTTTATTTTGTTGATAGGTTGATTTGTCTTCTTCTAACTCTTCCAAATTTCTAAAGCTACATGTGATCGTGCATGTTTTCAGGTATAAAGATAGTGAATAATAGATTGTGAAACAAAATAAATGATGAGTTTCTTATTAATGATTTAGTTATTTATATTGAAAGAAAGATAGCTAAATTTTTTAGCCCAGATGCTATTTTGAGATATTTCAATTATCTCAAAGAACGTTGTGGACTTTTAAAATAATTTTATTTTTATTTACATTTATCTATTTTCGGCCCATCCGGTCTCGAAATCCTAGCTCCGCCCCTGGTTGTTTGTCTCACTGGTTGGGCGGGCATGCAGGTGGGTGGTTCAACTTGAGACTAATATATAATGGATAAATTTTAGAATTAATCAATTAATAATGAATTGTTTTGTATCCTTAACAGATACGAGCTTAAAGAGAATAATTGATTAAAAAGGAATATTCTATAGATAATTAGGTAGTAATTATCTTACCAGACGCGCTTTAATTAATAGAGTGACTATCTCCTTAATTACAACGACTTATTCATCACGAAAGAGGGTATATTCTGGGGGTCTTCACACAAAACCGTCGAGCAACAAGAGTGACTATTTTATCCTGGAGGCGATCCGGCTGACAGTCTACTGTGCGCAATGAGAGATAGTTCCACGAACATCTTAAAGAGAGCGACCTAGTCTGCGACTTAGCCAGATTCAGTAACACTTGTTTCAATGTTTATGTAACTAACAATTTTAAGACGTTGTGTTGCTGCTATGGCGACCAAACAGAATATGACCGGATCTGACGTTGTGTTACTACAATATACACTCTCGAAGATCCTAAAAGTTTGCAGGAATCGTTAACTTTCATAGATGCAGATTTGTGGGATGAGACCGTTAGAGATTAAATGGATTCATTGGAGGAAAATAATAATTGACATCTTGTAGACTTACCTCCAGACTGCAAGATTTAAGGTAATAAATTGGTTCTTAAAATGAAATTGAGACTTGATGGTGTAGTTGATAAGTTTAAGACTCACCAGTATCTAGCATAACATCCATTCATGTCACGAATGCTCTTGCTTCCTTTAACAATCTCATGGTACACCAAATGGATGTTAAAACCGTCTTTCTGAATGGTGATTTAGACGAAAAAGTTTACATGGAACAACCTGAAGAGTTTATTGTTCCTAAACATGCCTCGATAGTGTGTAAGTATAAAAATCATTGTATGGTTTGAAACAAGCTCCAAAATAGTGGCATGAGAAGTTTGACAATCTAGTTCTCTCACATGACATTAAGGTGAATGAAAGTGTAATGTGTATTTACTACAAATCAGAAAATAACACTTGCACTATCATATGTTTGTATGTAGATGGCATGTTAATATTTGGTACAAATATTCACGTGGTCAATAAAGCGAAAACCATGTTTAGAGAGAACATTGATGTGAAAGATCTGGGGGAAGCAAAGTTTCTTGGAATCCATATAACTTTAACAACATATAATTTTTCTTTAGATCATCAATCTGGCTACATAGAGAAGATCTTGAAGAAATATAACTATTTTGATTGTAAATATGCATGTACTCTGCATGATGTTAGTATAAAGCTATTCAAGAACACTGGTGACAGTGTGCGGCAATATGAATATGCTACCATAATTGGCAGTATTTGTTATGCGACAAATTACACTCGACCAAACATTCCATATGTCGTGGGATTGTTGGCAGGTTTAATAGCTTTTTAGTAAAGAGCATTGGAATGTTATAGAGAGGACCATGAGATACATCAAGAGAACCGTGAATCTTGGTATACACTATCAAAGGTTT